ATTAATGATTAAATAAATTATTAACAAATATTTGCAAGCCAAAAATTTGAAGCATTACCGTTATAAATCTTTAAGATGTCACAAAGATGTCCAAATATGCATAAACTTTTTCAATATTTACCTATTGTCTACTAAGATGAAGAAAAAATGATAAGATAAAAATGTTTATTACCATTCTTATATTTCAAGAGAAAGATACTATAGAGACTAATTTATACTTAAAAAATTGTTTTTTGGATAAATTTTCTTCGAAAAATTTTTTTTTAACTTGAAAAAATATTTTAAAAATTTGAATTACAAATTGCTATAAAAATATAATAATGAATCAAATGAATAAAGACAAATGAAATTTATAAAAAAATTGAAATTTTTATCGTGGTGAAACTGGATAATTTTAATAAAATAATCAGGTGATTGAAATAAAATCTCAATAAATTTGAGTAAATCTGTTTGTCTTCTTACTCCCTGCATTAACAAAATTCGGCATTCCTTTGACATTTATTTCAACATTTCCTTCAACAGATTTTCCCTCAAGTTTAAGCTCTTCAAGTCTATTTTTAATAAATGTGTGTGTTTCCAAAAAAGCTTCCGAATTGTTTCCACGTAACGTCATTAAATTCATGCCTGACAAAATGCATTTATCGAAACGGCAACTTTTACATTTTAAAGAACCTTCAAATTTTAAATAAAAATTTATTTTTTATTATTTATTTGTTCACCTTTAGAAACATCACATATCCCATTATTTTTACATTTAATAATATTTTTATTGGAAATACAACGACGAAAAAAGTGTTTATAGCCTGATAATATGTTGAAAAAAATAGTTAGGTTTAAAGTTAAATTTAGATGAATTTTAACTGAATTTAGGCAAAAAATTCTAAGTTTATTCAAGTCTGGATGCTTATTTTAATTTCGAACTTTATAATCTTGAAGCATTTTTAATTTAATATAAATTCTAAGTTTGATTATCGTTCAGCTTTCCTAAAGTTTATAAACCTAAAGTTACATATGTTTAATATCTAACATTAAAGTTAAGTGTTCAAGTTTATCCAAATTTTAATTATACATAATATTTTATAATTAATTTACCATCACAACACATAGCATTATAAAATACATATCCACTTGCTATATGTCCACAAACAATACAATTTGTTGGAAAAGCACGTTTTTTCTTACTATTATTTTTAGAAACTGAAGAATTTTCAGTCAAATCTTCATTAAATTCCTTAGTTTCTTTCCCCTTATCATTAGTAGTATATTTTAGTGTATCTACAGAGGATTCACTAATTGTTTTGTTAATATTTCCTTTTTCTGATATTTCAGAATTTGAGTTGTTGAAGAAAAAAGAGTCAGCAGACATTTTATATTCTCTAAAAAATATTTTTTAATTGTTAGATAATCTCACAGAGTTATGTTCGGGGTTTAATTTAGTTTAGTTAGTTAAAAACTTGTTTTGGTTGCGGTTATATGTTAACAAACTTAAAAAACGTTTAAAATTATTTAATATTTTAAATTAATTATTCAGTATTTATTTAATTAGTATTAAAATTTTGGATTTAAAAACCCAAAGTAAATTTATATATATAAATTTCTTTAAGGTATAAAAATTATTGGCAAATCACGGCAATTAAGAGGGACAGTCTAAATTGATTAGTGCAATTATTCATAGGCTACGACAAATATTTTTGATTTTTGTGTAAATTTGTGTTTATAATGTTTGTGAATTTTATAATAGATCACGCCACCCTCTCATATAGCCCAATTAAACTTGGTTTTTTAGGAAAAGTTTTGCCTTCTAAATTCTTCAGAAAAAATTTTTCTAAAAACATTTACCGTTGTTCAAACAACATCCCACATTTGTTGGAACAAATTTTGTGATTTTTAATGATTATACATCTGGGCGGAAAGGACTTGTTCGGGGTAAATGTCCAGCTCGTCCTCCAAATGCCCGCAAATGTCTTTTCCTTTCCTATCTCTACCATAATCTTCCTCAGGTAATTAGAGATCGGAAGTAATTAGAGATTCTTTTGCCTTATGAACAGCGATGTGGTCCGTTGAAAGATCCAGTTACTATTTTCAAGTATCCGTATCTTTTACAAAAGTAAACATATACTATTAAATGACTTTTGTTTTGTTTTATTTTTTAAAAAATTTTTAAAAATATTTTCCAAAAATGATTTTTTAAATGATATCATAAATATATTCAAATTATAGGAATTGATACAAAAATAGATTACTATTTTAAGAATTTTTTGGATGATAAATTTTGAAAATATTTACTCTTAAAAGTAAATTTATATAAATAATTTATTTTGATCTAGTCAATAAATATTAGTTTGTATTTTAGAAATAACTAAAATTTAAATTTTTTGGCAATAAAAATAGAAAATGTTTTTTGATTATTATTTTTGAAATTCAAAAATATTTACATTAATTTTTAAAATTGTTATTGTTAAAGTTTAGTCAGAGATTGAGATATAAATAGTTGGAGATTTTATAAAAAGTAATCATTTAAAAATACTAAATATCATAAATATTCCAATACATATACTTTAATATCAAATTATATAAAATTTGATTGTTTCATTTACTATGATTTAGTTTTGCCTAATTTAATGTTTGATTCAGGGCTTCGATCACGAATTTATAAAAATCCGCAATTTTGAGCGCCTGAAGATACTAAAAACCACAAGAGAGCATAAAAAATCCTAATAATCTTCAAAAGACCACAAAAATCCGCATATCCGCATTTTTAAAAATAATCCTCATCGAACTATCAAAAAACCACAAAATAAGGAAAAATCCGCAGATATCGAAGCCCTCGTTTAATTTAAAATTTTAGCAAAAATGAACAAGTTAGTTTTCGGAATTATTTTCCTTCTTATAAGCATAACTGCTGTTACTGGAAGTGATAATTTAGCTTGCGACTTTTGTTGCAAATATAAGGACTGTTTATTGTCTCTTACAGTTTTGGTTGGTTGTAACTTGGATGATTGTCAAAAGGATTTGCTTGCGGCGGTCAAATTTTGTGCATGCCCTTAATAAGGTTAAAAATAAATAAATAATTTACTTAGAACAAAATAGTCAAAATAATTCTTGAGGATTTGAGATAATTTTTAATATTTTCCTTAAAATATTCTCTTTTAGTTTTGAACAGAATAAAGAATGAAGTGATAAAAAGAGGAAGAATATATAAATAAAAAAATAAATAAATAATAAATATTTAAGTATATTAATATACTAATTAAGTTTACTACATATACTATAAATCCTAACGATAAATAATTTACAAATTAATTTAATAAATTAAATCAATGAACTATTAAATAATTGAAACGTCAGCCACCATCTCAGTTTTTTAGGAAAAGTTTTGATTTATTTAAAAAGTTTACCTTCTAAATTCTTCAAACAAAATGTTGAATTAATAACACTGACTGAGGGTTTACTAAGGGTACTTTGATTGACGATTCTTAGGGCTGCTTCGCGCGGTTTAATTACACTAGGTTTCTTAATTTTAGCATAAAATACAACCCATATTGGATAGATAAAAGCAGCAGCATAGATAATGCCGTCCAGTTTACCGAACAAGTCCTTGAAGCTTCCACCCAAGTTTAAATTTATTAAAAATCAAATGTTGTTTGTCAACAGTAAATGTTATTGTAAAATCTTTTAATTGAATAATTTACAAGGCAAAAACTTTTTAAATAGATCAAAACTTTTCCTAAAAAACCGAGTTTAATTGGGCTATCTGAGAGGGTGGCGTGATCTATTATAAAATTCACAAACATTATAAACACAAATTTACACAAAAATCAAAAATATTTGTCGTAGCCTATGAATAATTGCACTAATCAATTTAGACTGTCCCTCTTAATTGCCGTGATTTGCCAATAATTTTTATACGTTAAAGAAATTTATATATATAAATTTACTTTGGGTTTTTAAATCCAAAATTTTAATACTAATTAAATAAATAATAATTAATTTAAAATATTAAATAATTTTAAACGTTTTTTAAGTTTGTTAACATATAACCGCAACCAAAACAAGTTTTTAACTAACTAAACTAAATTAAACCCCGAACATAACTCTGTGAGATTATCTAACAATTAAAAAATATTTTTTAGAGAATATAAAATGTCTGCTGACTCTTTTTTCTTCAACAACTCAAATTCTGAAATATCAGAAAAAGGAAATATTAACAAAACAATTAGTGAATCCTCTGTAGATACACTAAAATATACTACTAATGATAAGGGGAAAGAAACTAAGGAATTTAATGAAGATTTGACTGAAAATTCTTCAGTTTCTAAAAATAGTATGAAAAAACGTGCTTTTCCAACAAATTGTATTGTTTGTGGACATATAGCAAGTGGATATGTATTTTATAATGCTATGTGTTGTGATGGTAAATTAATTATAAAATTGAAAAAATATTTATGTATAATTAAAATTTGGATAAACTTTAAGACTTAACTTTGATGTTAAGATATTAAACTTAGATTTGTCAGATTAATTTTCATTTGTTACCGTCAATTATTCTTTCCTCAAAAATTATAAAAAGACCAAGGAGCAGAATTTAAAAGGAGTAAAATTAACAGTAAAAAAGAAAAATTAATCTGAGACCCAAATACGAATGGGGGTGAGATATTAATAAAGTACCCTTAGATTTAGAATTTATATTGAGTCAAAAATGCTTAATGTTTGAATGTTTGAAATTAAAAAAAGCATCCAGACTTGACAAAGCCTAGAATTTTTTGTTTAAATTCAGTTAAAATATATCTTAAGCTTAAACTTAACTAATTATTTAAACATATTATCAGGTTGTAAACACTTTTTTCGTCGTTGTATTTCCAATAAAAATATTATTAAATGTAAAAATAATGGGGGATGTGATGTTTCTAAAGGTGAACAAATAAATAATAATAAAAATAAATTTTTATTTAAAATTTGAAGGTTCTTTAAAATGTAAAAGTTGCCGTTTCGATAAATGTATTTTGTCAGGCATGAATTTAATGACATTACGAGGAAACAATTCGGAAGCTTTTTTGGAAACACACACATTTATTAAAAATAGACTTGAAGAGCTTAAACTTGAGGGAAAATCTGTTGAAGGAAATGTTGAAATAAATGTCAAAGGAATGCCGAATTTTGTTAATGCAGGGAGTAAGAAGACAAACAGATTTACTCAAATTTATTGAGATTTTATTTCAATCACCTGATTATTTTATTAAAATTATCCAGTTTCACCACGATAAAAATTTCAATTTTTTTATAAATTTCATTTGTCTTTATTCATTTGATTCATTATTATATTTTTATAGCAATTTGTAATTCAAATTTTTAAAATATTTTTTCAAGTTAAAAAAAAATTTTTCGAAGAAAATTTATCCAAAAAACAATTTTTTAAGTATAAATTAGTCTCTATAGTATCTTTCTCTTGAAATATAAGAATGGTAATAAACATTTTTATCTTATCATTTTTTCTTCATCTTAGTAGACAATAGGTAAATATTGAAAAAGTTTATGCATATTTGGACATCTTTGTGACATCTTAAAGATTTATAACGGTAATGCTTCAAATTTTTGGCTTGCAAATATTTGTTAATAATTTATTTAATCATTAATAAATCTATTGTTGTCAATTGGATCTTATTAAATGATAACGATCACTGTGATAACCGGGTTTCTCTAATTTATACAGAATACAGTTATCCAAAAAAATTTAAATCCTTACAAATAATATTTTTAAAAATATTATTATATTTTCATTATTCTCCCTCCAATATTTTTATATTAAAATAAAGATAAAAAGAAATCAAATTTTTCACTCTTGAATGTATATTAAAATACACATGCTTAAACAAAAACATCTTTTTCATTGATAGAAAATTTTTACTTTTCTCGATATCGTATCTCTTTACATACCTTTTTATAAAACAAATTTTTTAAATACAGCAAAAGTTAAGGGGAAAATTATTTGTAGATATATTTTAAGTGAAGAGCGAAGAAAATAAATTTTGAGTGATAAAACTTTGGATTTCTTAAAAAGAGTTTAATTTAGTTGCTTTAAAATACATATATTTGCCTAATTAATGTCTAAATAATTAAGTGTATTTTCGTAATTGTTTAAACATTTAATTTAAAATAAATGTCAGTTGTTATATTTTAATCGAGATACTTAAAGCCTTATAGAGACTGTAATGTATTGTAATTATAAAATTACTGTAATAATCGTAATACTAAAGTATTTAGAAAAATATAAACTTATATTTTTCAGATTAATTTTCATTTTTTACTGTCAATTATTCTTTTCCTCAAAAATTATAAAAAGACCAAGGAGCAGAATTTAAAAGGAGTAAAATTAACAGTAAAAAAGAAAAATTAATCTGAGACCCAAATACGAATGGGGGTGAGATATTAATAAAGTACCCTTAGATTTAGAATTTATATTGAGTCAAAAATGCTTAATGTTTGAATGTTTGAAATTAAAAAAAGCATCCAGACTTGACAAAGCCTAGAATTTTTTGTTTAAATTCAGTTAAAATATATCTTAAGCTTAAACTTAACTAATTATTTAAACATATTATCAGGTTGTAAACACTTTTTTCGACGTTGTATTTCCAATAAAAATATTATTAAATGTAAAAATAATGGGGGATGTGATGTTTCAAAAGGTGAACAAATAAATAATAAAAAAAATAAATTTTTATTTAAAATTTGAAGGTTCTTTAAAATGTAAAAGTTGCCGTTTCGATAAATGCATTTTGTCTGGCATGAATTTAATGACATTACGAGGAAACAATTCGGAAGCTTTTTTGGAAACACACAAATTTATTAAAAATAGACTTGAAGAGCTTAAACTTGAAGGAAAATCTGTTGAAGGAAATGTTGAAATAAATGTCAAAGGAATGTCGAATTCCATTACTCCAGGCTGCAAGAAGTTAAACAGATTTACTCAAATTTATTGAAATTTCTTTGTAATTCCAGATTATTTTACTAAAATTATCCTGTTCCCCCACGAAAAAATTTTCAACTTTTTTATAAATTTTATTCCTCTTTATTCATTTGTTTTATTATTATATTTTTATACCAAGTTGTAATTCAAATTTTTACTATATTTTTCCAAGTTTAAAAAGAATTTGACGAAGAAAATTTGTCCAAAAAACAACTTTTTAAGTATAAATTAGTCTCTATATGTAGTATCTTTCTCTTGAAATATAAGAAAGGTAATAAACATTTTTATCTTATCTCTTGACATCTTAAAGACTTCTCTTTGTGACATCTTAGAGACTTATAAGGGATGATGCTTCAAATTTTTGGCTTGCAAATATTTATTAATAATTTATTTAATTATTTATAAGATAACCCACACTGTGATAACCGGGTTTCTGTAATCATACAGAATACAGTTATCCAAAAAATTTTAAATTTTTACAAAAAATATTTTTTAAAAATATTATTATATCTTCATTATTATCTCTCCAATATTTTTATATTAAAATAAAGATAAAAAGAATAAAAAATTTTCACTCTTGAATGTATATTAAATTGCACATGCTTAAACAAAAACATCTTTTTCATTGATAGGAAATTTTTACTTTTCTTGATATCGTATCTCTTCACATATCTTTTTTGAAAACATATTTTTTAAATACAGCAAAGGTTTTAAGGAAAATACTATTTGTATATTATACTATATATAAATGGGGGTGATAAAATTTTGAGTGATAAAACATTGAATCTCTTAAAAAGATGTAAATTTGCAATATTTTAAATATTATTTTGTTTCAAACAATTTTCGAAAAATAAATCTGCCTCCCTCCATGGCCCGTACAATAAAATCAGGGTTAAATGACCTGGTCAAATAACCTGGTTAAATAACCCGGGGTTAAATAACCCTCAACCCCGGGTTAAATCCGCACAATAAATTCGGTACAATAAATTAGCATTTTTACCCCGAGTTGAGGGTTATTTAACCCTGCGGGTTACCCGGTTATTTAACAATAATATTTCATCATTTATTTATGAATAAAGTTGGCTGATCCTGGGAAATCCCCGGATATTCGCGTTGATAACTGAGCCGAAAATTCTCAGATAATGATCTGATATCAAAATAGAAAATATTCCGGTATTTTTAAAAATTTTAACAACAATGTGTGAAGTGAATTTGAAGGGATTAAGCGAGACATCGGTTGATTTCGAAGTATTAAGTGAAGTGGAGAATTCTCTCCCCTATCCTCCTTAATATCTGATTAAGAAGGAGGCGAGATATCAGAATTAGGGATTAGGAGGAATCAAGAGAGCAATTTTTCTATTGATAAAATCCTAAAATTTTTTGAATTTCTGAAAAATTTCCCAAATTTTATCTCGTTTTAGATATTAGTTAAAAATATTTTTTTATCTGTGAAATATTTTTTTCTTTTAAAAATATTTTCTAAATTAAGCGTTTTTACCCGATTACCCTGCCCCCTAGCAGGGTCGTCATTTTACCCGGAGCTGCGGGTTATTTAACCCCGGGTAGCTCTTTTATTGTACCGATCGGTTAAACAACCCCGGGTTGCGGGTTAAATAACCCGGTCATTTAACTCTTAACTCCGGGTACTCATTTATTGTGCGGGTTGAGGGTTATTTAACCCTCGGGTAGGGGTTAAATAACCCAAACCCCGATTTTATTGTACGGGCCCATATGTCAGATAATATGTTTGTATCGATAAATATGTTTGTTGAAATTTTTGTAAATTTTTTCTAATGTCAGAAACATAAATTTTAAACAAACAAAATAATTAATCAACAAAAAATTTTTAAAAAATATTTTGGAAATTTGTATTAATTATAACCATCCTAGCATTTGAAACGATAAATTAAAAAAAAATTTCTAGAAAATATCTTAAATATAGCACGAGATATGACACGAAATACAGGTGCGTCTATCATTTTCTGACACAGTGTACATAATACTCCTTCTCTGATAGAATGCCCCTACGAAGGGTTTATTAGAATAAAATATCTGGGTATCAATTTAAGGAGGAAAAAGATATTTAAATTGATAAAAAAAATTGAAAATACTTGTTAGCAACATTTATTTTTTTACAAAATTAACAATTTAATTAATTTAGTATTTCGATATTTTATTAATAAAATTTCATTTCTTTACAAATTCCATAATTATTCCTCACCTAAATATAAAAAATAATTTTTTTATAAAATTACAAAAAACCTTCATGATGACAACACCCAATATTTTCACAAATGGATTTAATAATTTTACAAACAACAGTATCACCGCTGTCGTAACCACAAGTATAATGACAGTACTTTTCACAATCCAATTTTAAAATAGAACAATGTTTGGCATTGGTAGAGACAACAACAATAGCCATAATTAAAGCAATTACAATTAAATAATTTTTCATTTTTAATTTAATTTAAAAATAATTGAATGATTCTAATAAATTGACTTAAAAACGAAAATATATACCGTATTGCCTCTAATAGAAGACCGTCTCCAATAGAAGCCCATGCCCTAATAGAAACCCACCCAATGAGTGGTATTGAAAAATAGAGGCCCAGAGTTTCTATTAGGGACAATACGGTATATGAAATGAAATTATCGTTAAATATGAAAATTCAACACATATTTTATATTTCGTTCAATAAATTTAAAAATTTAAATTTAAGATAATTGACAATTATTTTTGTAAGAAGGAGATAAAAGTTTAGCTCGGGCAGGCGTGCTCCTGTACCTTCTAGACAGCTTGTGCTATCAGGTGAGCTAACGACTGAGTGTTAATGATGAAATGGTTTCACCATCTCCTTTAATAGACCTTAAATTCCAGCCAGCTTCATCTTCCTTCTTCCTTCCATTCGTTAAAATTATATTCGTCAGTTTTTATTTCTTGTTCCTTACATTTATTTAAACAAATAAACAATTTAGATTAAAAAAAACTTTCTTAACAATTATTTTAAATAAATTATTTACAAATAAGCAATTTTAACCCCAAACAATCAAAGAATAATTTTGTTTTATTTATTGAGAGTCAAACATTTTTAGTTTTTAATTTAAAAATGAAAATGAGGAAATAATAAGGAATTGCTTGCTATGCGGAAATAAATGTTAACAATCTTACTAATATACATATTTAAATAAATTTTATTAACAATAAATTCTTTCAATTTTCTATATTGTTATTGTTGCGTGATATAAACAAGGATTGTTAAGATTCAAATTTTATTTTTATCTACGTGTAAATTTGAAAAATAAGCAAACATTTAATATTGTTTGTCATTTCGTAATTTTTATTTTAAACAATTTTGGTTTTATTATGAAATAAAATGTATGCATACAATTTGTCATAAACAAAAATTTGAAACAGGAAGGTATTAAAAATTTTAGACGTCATTTAAGATGTGTAGAAAAATTTAATAATTAATATAGAATAATACTCGAATTATTTTTAGAATTGTTTTTTTATAAAATTAATACATTCGTATCTAAATTACTAGCATAAAAATTAACATTAATTTCGAGTAAACGATGAATATTATAAAATACCTTCAGGGCCCGTATCATAAGAACGTGGTTGTTCGTGGTAAGCAAATGGCAAACATTATGTTTTAATGCCAAACATTATTCTATTTTAAAATTACGGCTCTTTTATGTCCTAGTCCATTGAAGAGCCGTAACCCGCTTATATTCACAGTTTAATAAATATCTTGTAATCACATAATTTGATGTAGATTATGATGTAGATTTTTTTATAAATAATTTTTTAAATTCTATATTATTTTAAAATTTTAAACAATATTATTGTGTGAATCACATGGTTAATAATCAATTTTCAATTTTCATTACTATCCTAAACATGACAAACAATTAAAAGGTTTTAACAAAAAAATAAATATTAACAAACATTTCATGATTTCCAACTTAATATAAACATTATTAAAATATCGTTATTAAAAATTGTCTTAATTTAAAAATTGTCTTAATTTAAAATTTGTCATTAAATGCCCTCCCCATTACTAAACATTTTAATCTTTCTAAATTTATTATTTCTTCCACATTATTTTGCACAATTTAGCTCTTCATTTCGTGAATTTCTAAAAGTTTATGGTGGTAACGATCTTGAGAAGCTACTTACAAGAGAGGATCTTGGAGTAAAAGGAAGTTATGGAGGAGGAAATCATAAGGCTGGAGAGAAAACTAAGTAAGAAAAAAATAAACTAAAAAATAATTTCTTTGAGTATTTTGATTTAAATTTGAATATTTTTAGAAGACGACCAGTAATTTTTGTACACGGTATGGCAGAAAGTGCAGGCTCAACAAAAACGTTTGAAAAATTTTTCAAGGTTTTTTGACATTCATAACTTTTCCTAAATGGAACTTAAAATAAGGATAATGGTTATGACAGTGCAGAGACGTTTGCTACTACATATGGGGATGCAGGAAAAACTAATCTTATTTTTGTTGAGATTGAATGTGAATTTGTTAAAATGGTTGGATTTAAAAGGCTTTTGTTACTTCAGATAAAATTCATCAACAGATTCGTCATATGATTTTAACTGTATCTAATTATACTTCTAATAAGGTTAATATTGATGGATTCTCTTTGGGAGTTGTTATTTCAAGAAAAGTGAGTGAGGATCACATTATGTAGAGGATAAAATAAAATCTCCATTATAGGCAATATTGGGAGGAAAATGTGTTGATACAGGCGAAGATCTTGGCCCACCAGTAACTCATTTAGTACACACATTTGTTGGAGTTGCAGGACCGAATTGGGGATCATTTCTGTGCATTTTACCCATCGGAGCCTGTAATTTATTGAATGGAATTAATTGCTCGTCGACATTCTTGAAGGACATTAATTCAAAGTGAGAGAAAATTCTAAACTTAATTTTATTAAAATTAAAGAAAAAGATATAAGGGAAGCTTTATCTTTACAATATTTTCAACTGGCGATGATATTGTTGGGTATGAAGTTTGTGGAAAAGTATCAAGTAGTATTGAAGGTGCAGATGATAATTTTGAGGTAAAATAAAAAATAATAATAATGAAAAAATAAATTTATGTAGTTTCAAAATATGACTCATTCTGAAGTAATTTTAAATACGATTAAATTGCAATATGACCTGATAACCTTTCAAAAAGCTGATGATGATGACCTTTCATGGGTGGAATAAATTAAATAAAATACATATAAATTGAAAATAATTATTTAAATTATCCTATTAAATGCTTAAGTACTTAAATAATTATTGTTTGAGAGGGTTGGGGCAGTTAAGAGAGGAAGCAAATATCAGGGTAATGAAATTTGAAATTATAGTAGGGCATTTCGTGGAGAGTGATTATTGTTTCATTGTCTCGTTGGAAGGGTTAATTAAGAGCTATATTGTAAAGCATATAGCTATTTAATTCCAAAGGCTGTGCAGTAGTCGGCGTGGTGTAATTCTAACACATCAGTCCGGTCTACTGAAGATGCTGGTTCGCTCCCAGCCGCCGATTAACCTTTTGTACTAGCTAAAGGAGAAAAATAGCTATAGCCCAGCTGCTTTACTATATGTGTTGTTAAAACTAGTATTTATAAAAAAATAAATTTATTATAATATTTATATAAAAATAAATAAAAAATTTTAATTAAATTTTTCTATAATTCATCTTTGGATTTTAAGGTTTCTTTATTTATTCCTCTAATAACATCAAAAGAATAATTTTCTGTTAATTTTTGCCAAAATTTTAATTTTTCGGGATACAATGCTGATTCCATTTTTGGATTAGTTGGGTTTAACCGGGCAAATTGTAAAGGATTTTTGGTGTTTAAATTGTGCCATTTAAGTGTTGATATGCTTGGATTGCTTAAATTAATTTCTTTATTTAATTTTGAAAAAAATTGGAATTTTCTAGAAATGTTTTGAAATTAGGGAAAATTTTGAAAATTAATAAAAGATTTCTTAGATTTAAATAAAAGATTTTAAAAATATTGAATTTCTGGAAATTCTTCGCAAAAAATTAAAAACAAACCCAGTAGTAACAAAATTAACGACAAAAGTGAGTAGCACTTTTTCAAATTCCAAATCCTCTTCAGAGAATTCCTCGATATGAAAAGGACATTCAGTAATATTAAATAAAGGAGGAAGCTCTACACAATGGTAGCTTCCTTTGAAAATTAAATTTTATATTTTTGTACATATATTAATTCTGATTTTTGTGATTTTTATTAATTCTGGTTTTTGTCTTTAAAATTCTGATTTTTTTGTATTTTTCTACTAATTTTAAATAATTTTTATTTAATTTTAAATTAAATCCACCTTTAATAGGGATATTTTTTGGATAATATTTCTTATTATAATAATCAATCATATACATAAAAACAGGCCACCCTTTTTCAAATTTGTAATGGACTTCTTGTAACATAGGTACAATAAACATAAGATCTGTAGTTAACTAAAAATTTGATATTTGATAATTCTGGTTCTTGTAATATTATTTTTAATTTTCGTATTTTTAATAATTTTTATTTTTGTATTTTTTTGTATTTTTAATTTTTGTGTTTTTAATAATTCTGATTTTTGTATTTTTCGTATTTTTAATAATTCTGATTTTTGTATTTTTTGTATTTTTAATTTGTGTATTTTTAATAATTCTGATTTTTGTATTTTTTTGTATTTTTAATTTTTGTGTTTTTAATAATTCTGATTTTTGTATTTTTTTTTTGTATTTTTAATAATTCTGATTTTTGTATTTTTTTGTATTTTTAATAATTCTGATTTTTGTATTTTTTTGTATTTTTAATTTTTGTTTTTTAATAATTCTGATTTTTGTATTTTTCGTATTTTTAATTTTTGTATTTTTAATAATTCTGATTTTTGTATTTTTTTGTTTTTTTAATAATTCTGATTTTTGTGTTTTTTTGTATTTTAATAATTCTGATTTTTGTATTTTTTTGTATTTTTAATAATTCTGATTTTTGTATTTTTTTGTATTTTTAATAATTCTGATTTTTGTATTTTTTTGTATTTTTAATAATTCTGATTTTTGTATTTTTAATAATTCTGATTTTTGTATTTTTTTTGTATTTTTAATAATTCTGATTTTTGTATTTTTTTGTATTTTTAATTTTTGTATTTTTAAAAATTCCGATTTTTGTATTTTTCGTATTTTTAATAATTCTGATTTTATAATTAAACAAACATCTAAGTATTTCTTCAAAAAATACAAAGACTCTTCTTTCTTATTTTTTCCATCAATTTTACCATTATCAGATAAATAAAAGTCAATTATTTTTTGTTGTACTTCACTTCCTTCATTTTCATTAACAAACGCATTCTTCGGGGCAACTAGCTTTCTAACAAAATTTTCAAATTTTTTTCTATTATAATTTTCAATTTCTTCAGGTTTCACAGACATTCCCCCATCCATAGAATTTTTTTTATCTAACAGTAGTACTTTAAAAAAATTTTTTAATTAAAATTATTTTTATAATAACTAAATGTAAGTGCTTCTGTATCTGCAACGCCTATAAAGTTTCTTTTTGTCGGTGCATTTTGAAGCAAAGTTTTAACATCATTTGGGAAGAAATCTGCATCTATTCGGGGGGTGAAAAGAAGCGAATTGGGCTCCATTCTAGCTGAACCCTGAAAATTATTTTTTAAATCCAACACCCATTCTCTATATCAACCAACCATTCTCTCTACAGCATCCATTAATTCCTCAACAGTTTTACCTCTCAAACATTTTTTTAATTCTTTAGAATCATCCAAAGTATCATCACAACCAACAAATTTAGCCATTTTCTCAGTTTCAAAAACTACCCGATTAGATACTGACCATTCAGAAAAGAATGTGCCGCTCATTTGGATAGTTTGTTGAAAAAGATTATTTGATAGAGGGGAAATACTTAAAGCACTGACACTTGCTGCGCCTTTAAAAAATATTTTTTAATTTCTTTACTAAGAATTAGGCACTCGTTTTAGAATAATGGGCTTTTGATGCCTTTACTGAGGAACCCTACGTCTTATAAATTAATTTTTACTTTTAATGTTTAATTAACAGTTTTAAGTAGAGACCGGACTGAGAGGGACGTACGAGAATCTAGATCGAGATCTCAAAAAATATCGATAACGATAACCGAGATTTTTTTCAAGATCTCCTCTCGGGCCGATCTCTAGTTTAATACACATTTTTAATACTCTCACTTTACGTCAGTTTTTCAGTCCGAGAGGTGACTTACAAATGAGAGTAAATTTCTAAATGATTAAAAATGTCCTTAAAAAAATAATTATTCAAAATGTCTACATTATTGCGGATTTAATTTTTCTCAAGAATCCAAATAATTACCAGCACTAAATCCAGAAATTGTTATTCTTTGAGGATCTCCTCCGAATCTCTCTATATTGTCCCGCACAAACTGTAAAGCTCTCAATTGGTCCCATAATCCATAATTCCCTGCAAAGTTCTTATCTCCCGTTGAAGCAAAACCTTTTAGGGAAATTTTTTTTGAAAATTAAAAAAAAAATTTTCTGCCTAATTGTCCAATTCTGTATTGGAAGGTAACAAAAACAATATTATTCTTGGCATATTTTTTGGCCATAGCTTCTTGTGGAATTTCTCTAGTTGTACCAGTTTGGTAGCCACCTCCATGAATAAAAACTAGAACTGGATAAAGGTGACCATCATCAGACTGTTAATAATTATATAAATTAATATTTTGTGAACATTATAAAATAACCACTTGAACTGAAATATTGTGTATCTTATAATGAGTGTATCTCAAATAGAATTTATCGTTTGCCTACTAGTCAGCTAATCCTTAAAAGGGCTTAAAATGAGTGTATCCCTATTGGGATTAATATAAGCCTAATTAAATGACACAATATTTCAGCCTACAATGTGTATCTACTGGGATCCACTAATTTTCCATTATTTATTCATTTACCTCCCAAGCAGGAGTTGCAATATCCATATAAAGACAATCCTCGCTGTGATCCTTCTCTAATGCCATCATACCCTTTTTAACGAATGGAAAACAGGCTGGAGCCCTTTCGGTCGTATCTTTGATATTTTTCCATTTTTTAGGTTCTTGAGGTTTCTTGAATTTATTTTTTATTTAATTTTATCTCTAAGTTTTCGTAAATATGTATTATAAGAATAGGTAATTTTCTGAAAAAAGTTAATCTTTTGCGGTCATCTTTGCGTGCATTTATTTTTTTCATAAAAAATTTAAATCCGGGAAACATCCAAAATTTCTTCAATTTTGGCCAAAAATCCTTTTCTTAAATAATGCTTGCCTCAAATCGAAGTTGATTAATTGGAGGTTTTGCAAAGGGAATGCCTAAAAACATTTTTACAGTTTTTGGCGTAGTGTCCTCATCAATAGTTAACGGAAATCCCCGAATTGTGCCATAAGTTGTTTCTACCAAAAAGGGATCATTTGTAGTTATTGGAAGAGGGAATAATAATAAAAATAAAATTAATAACATTTTTACTAAAAAATATTTAAAATTAGAAATATTCAATCGAGTTTGTAAATCTTAATTTTAGCTTTTCCAAAAGGTTGGATTATCCCATAGAACCTAGGTATAAATGATATTAAAAAATATTATTACAAAATTTAAAGAGAATCTGAGAAAAACAGAACGAACTATGTAAATGTTTTGGGTGGTCATATCTATTGTTGAACGCAAAATTTTTTATTATTTTCTATTGACTTGGGAAGGGAAAATTGTACTAAAAATTGATTCAGCCGGGTTTATTTTGCCTCAACTATGTATTTACTGCTTTGCTTTACCCGCAACTATTCTCGCTAAAATAAAATTTTTCATCGACGACTTTTTCTAAAATATGTAAACAAATTAATAAAAATAAATTTCTTCTTTTATTTAAATAAAATTGAAATAATAATAAAGAAAATAGTGGTATGATTTTTTAAATGAATTATTGTTAATATCAGCGTTAATTTAAAATAAAAATGTTTTTGCCTGTTTTTGCTTTCTCAACAAATATTCAATTAGTTTTTTTTATTTTGTTATCAAGACCGACACAAGTTTATTATCTTTTAAGATATTATTTATGTATGTACATATATAAAATATGAAATATCAAGTACATCCTACAACTTAAGGAAGGCTTTAATAACTTTAAAAACTTCAATAAACCTTTGTTAAACATTATTTATTTCAATTATGACTTTATGGATTGACTTAAAATAATAAAAACCTGAAGAATAATTTATTATATAACTTACCAGAAAGGTTTATAAAACAATCTTTTATAAATTTTAGAAACCTTTATTAAATTCGGAAACTACATATTATACCGTATTTTTTTACATAATAGTGCGACTCTCTTTATTAGACCGACCCCTTCTAAAAACCGAACCTCTAGAGGATGGTTAAAAATAAACCGACCGGTCGCTCTATTAGAAGAAATACGGTATATTTTAACCCTCATGAAAATTTTCTTGAAAAATCTTTTTTGCTTTAGTTATCCAAAAATCAAATTTTTTTAAATATTGTTCTAAAATTTTGTTTTTTAAACAGTCTAAAAATGCAGAAATTGATAAAATTTAATTATTGAATTTTATTTACTAAAAAATACCATCGTCTCATCCTTTGAAGAGCTTTCCAACATAAACACAGCCTTTTTTCTCCCTTATTTTTCAACACCGACTGACTAAACTAATTTGCTTATCCAGCATTTTAAAAGAGGAAAAAAGACTTGGCTATTTTATTCAAAAATATTGAGGCGGAAAGCGGCAAATGGAAATTTTGGGAATACTTTTAGTAGACTGGATTAGTCAATAAAACATTAATGTTTACTTTTTTGTAATAAAAAATTCCATTTATTAAATTAAAATTCAACTTTATTGTGAATTTTAATATTTTTGTATGAATAAATATTTTTTGGGATTTAAAAAGTTTTGCTAAATTAATATTTTTCAGTGAAAATTTTTACCATTTTTTATACCAATAAAATTTTCGAACGGCTAATAGAAATATTCAGTCAGCTTTTTTACTTTTTTTTTGCCCCATGTATATGTTGACCAGGTCTGCACGGAATTGCGGATTGCGAGTTGCGGATTGCGGAAATTGTGGGGGTTTTTGCAATTGCGAGCTGCGGAATCTTTTTTTGAATTGCGTGATGTCGACCTTTTTTGAATCATTTTTGTCATCTATTTGGGCTTTTTTACAACCTATTTAAGTGCCTATTTTTAAGTTTTTACAACCTAAAAATCCGATCCCTAATAATTACATATTTAATATTATTACCTATACTATAATTAATATAATTAACAAATTTCCGGAAATGAAAATTCCTGAAGGAACATCATTTCTCAATTTAATTTTTATTTTACTCTCCTTTGTAAAACTTTCATTCCATCAACTTGCCTGCCCAGTTCGAATAGTTTCTCACCGTTTAATTACTTCAGGTCAATATAATTCCGGAAAGGGGAATATTCACTCTGTAAGTGTTCTTCAACTATATTTTTTACAATTGACAATTTAAGATGAGTGGGATTTGGAGGCATTTTAGTACAGACAAAAGTACAATTCACAAACAGATTTCTGCTGCCTTAGGAAGTGAAATGATCGAGTCGAGTGTCCAAATGCCTGGACCTAATAATTCTGCAATTATTTATAGTGAACATTATGAGCCTGACAGTGAAAACAGCCTTTTTAATAATTTCAAGGCAAAATTTCATTAATAAATATGAGAATCTACACTAAAACAAAAAATAATAAACTTTAAATTTTAGTGCCAATTTATTTTTATTGGTGCACCAGACGAAAGGGTACAAGTCATTTTTCATTGGTTTCATCTAAGGTTAATGCCATCACTTACAATTAGCTCAAGAATAAATCTTAATCAAACAAACATTTTCGGGTAAATTATTTTTATTTTCTTTGTAAATTTTGTTAGCTGAAAAGAAGCTGAAAAATTGTATCTTATAATAAAATTTATAAAATTTAGGGAATGTTTCTAAGGTCAACCAACTCAAATATTTACACTCTCTAATAATAATTACCCCTTAAATCGTGAGATTTATTCAAGTAATTGCCTACCTTGAATAATTATTGACGTACCTGAATATGGGAATTGAATTTTACCCACTGGAAGTTTACCACTTTTTGCCAATTTTGCCCACTCGATGATACTCGAACTCGATTTTTCTTTAAATTTGGCATAAAATCTTTTCAAAAAATTAAGAGATAATTTTATAGACGATGTGAAGAAAGTGATCACCTTCTGGCACATGTCTTAGTCTGTACATGTTATTTTAAAAATATTTAAATTTAATTATCTAGTTAAATGAAAGAATGTCAAAAATTATTGAGTTTTGTGGGGATGAATTGCCAGCTCAATTAATGTCAGCAAATAATGTTTTGACATTAACTTATGTTTTAAAAAGTGCATTAATTGGGAGAGGAATTAACCAGTTTTCTGATAATAATGAAGAAAGTGAGGAAAGTAAGGAGGATAGGGAGCATCATTATGGATGGGTAATTTTAAATTTTTTTTAATATTGGAATTTAAATAGATTAAGTAGAAACTCATTTTTAGATATGCCCTAGGGCTGTAAAAATCACTAGGGCTGTAAAAATCACTTTAAAATGAGGTATTCTAATATAGGAGGGGTAACGTTTAGACAGTCCTCTACCTAATCGCTAACTAAATTAAAAAAAGCATATCTTAAATTGATGTGTTTATTATTAAGTGTGTTAATTGAGTTTAATAAATGTGAGATTAATAAAATATGTTTTAAGATAGCAGAATATCGTTTCATTACCGATTATGGCAACCAACCATCAATTCTTAATGGAAATGATTGTAATTTAAATTAAATAAAATTTCAAAAGAAGTTTAAAAAATAAAATTTTTAGCATGCTCGTTCCTCTTTGATGGGACTATAAACAAAACAGGAAATGTATGGAGCCCTAACTATCCCGGTTATTTATTTTTTTAATTAAGATAATAAAAGGGAGAAAGTCCATGAACACCTTTCCGGAAGAATTATAAAAACATAACTCCGAAAAAAGTCTCTTAATAAAATTCCAAAGGGACTTTAAAACTATAACCTATCTTTCAATGCTTGATTAAAACATTATAATCTTACGAAAAACATCTTTTATTTAATTCAAAAATAATTTCTTTTCTTTCATAGGCTTTTATCCACGAAATGTGGATTGCCAATATGTCTTTCTTGGAGCAAAAGATCAAGTTGTATTTGTTACTTTTGAATATTTTGATGTTGAAGGACGTGGACAGTAAGGAAAAATAATAGATTGAATTTTAATTTAAAAATTTATAAGGTGTGATGATAAGGCAAAAAGTGATTTTGTATTATTCAGTAATTACAGAACACGTGACCGGTTCTTATTTTAATTTATTATTTAAAATAATTTTAAAGAACAAATCGCCGATTTTGTGGAGCACTCAGACCTAAAGACACAATAAAGAGTGAAAGTAACTATTTTAGAATGATTTTCCATTCAAACGATATTTTTGATGGAACTGGCTTTTTCGCTCGTTATCAATTCTTTGATCAAGGCATTTTAATTTTTTCTTATTAAAATTTAATGTTTTTCCGGAAATCTTTAATAATTTACCGGAATAATAATTTTATAGTACAATTCTGGAAACTATATAAATTAATTATATTTTAATTTAAGGCTCAACAAGAAAACTTCCAAAATTAATGAGCACAAGTGGCAGTAACAAATTAAAAATATCTAGTATACTAACAACATTCTTAATCTTCATTTTTAGAATTTGGCTAGTAATTAATAATTAAATATATTTTAATTTCTTAAATTTGTAAATACTATCATCTTACCTCATATTTTTTTATGCCTTATTTTCACTGCCTTAATATTTTAATTGTTATTTAATGTTTATTATAAATTTTCGTAAAGAGATTTATAATTTTTTATATAGCTTTAATAAAGGGTTCGGTTTTAGGACCTCCAAAATTCTTAAAATTTTCGCCTGCGGCACAAAAATGGGAGACTTTTTTGTCACCTACGGAGCGAAAAAAAGTTTATGAAAATATTTTTGTAGTGTACTTATATTCTGAAAATTTTTCCCCTTATATACTTCCAAATTGAACTTTTTGTACTTACACTTAACATTTTCTCGATCCGAAGCTTTAATATATTTTAACCGGTGTTGTACTAAAAATTAATATTATCAAGTATGATATCTTATCAATTACTCCTATTACTTGCAAATAAACTATCATTGTAAAAAAATAAACTACTTTAATATAAATAAATAATTGGTTATTTTTTTAAATAAAATTGCACATACATACATATTTTCCTCTTTTAAATTTTTGAATGATTAGAAAATCAATTTTCCCTATTTAATATTAAAATAATTTCTTAGTCACCTGTGATGGAGACAAGATATTTAATTCCTCCAAAATTAAACAATTCCAATCTTGGAGATAAAATTGTAGGTTATCGCCCTTGTCGGCATGGACCCCCTCGAATGGAAATTGAAAAGAAAAATTATAAGGGTAAAATAAAAATAATTGGGCATAATTATGGGCATGCTGGGAGTGGTTGGACTCTTTCGCCTGCAATTGTTTATTATTTAAACAAACTTTTAATTGAAAATATTGAAGAAAGTGAAGGAGATAAGGGAATAAAAGGGTTAGTTAATATTTCTTATAATTAAATAAATAATTTTCAAAATTAGTATTAATGTGCCCATTTGTATTGTAGGAGCTGGAGTAATAGGCCTATTTACAGCTTACGATTTATTAAAGAAAGGCTTCAATAACTTAACAGTAATAGCTGAAAGTTTTGAGGAATTGACTTCTCATATTGCAGGTAATAATTGAAAATATTATTAAAGCTTTTTTTTAAACCTCCTTAAATATTAAAGGAGGTTTACTTGCACCTTTTGCTCTAGAAACTGACAATACTAACGAAAAAGATTTGATAGACAAATTTTGTATTGAAACTTGCAACTTTTATTTGGAAATTGCACAAGGGAAAAATTCTGAATTCTCTTCTGAATGTGTCCAAATAATGCCTGCTTATGTTGATGAGGCTGTTGCTAAGTTATTGGGTAGATAATTAAACGATATTTATTATAAACACTAGGGTTGTTCCCAGTCCCCGTCCCGAAAGTCAGGGGAATTTGAGAGATTTTTTGAAAAAAACCCTAATAAACAAAAAAAAAACTGGAACAACCCTAATAAACACTTTTCGGGAATAACACAGAGAGATTAAAGTAAATAAAAATATCCATCTCTCCGGAAAGTTCAAAATAAAATTTATTTAGAGCCCTATGTTACTGCTGGAATAATGAACCCTCCAAAACAAGTAAACGTTCAATTTAGCAATACTTGTCCAAATAAAAAACAAAAATTATTATTTGTTATTGACAATGCTATACTAGTACAAACAAATTTAATGATGAATAAACTTTACAAATTATTAAAAGAATCTGGCAAAATTAATTTTATTAAAAAGAGAATTGAAAGTTTTGAGGAAAATATTGAAGAATTTGATGTAATTATTAATTGTACTGGAATTGGAGCAAAAAAGCTTTGTTTGGATGAAAAAATGTATTCAATGCAAGGACATTTAATTAATCTTAAAGGTGTTGGTAATTCTTCGGTTCGTATACCCTGCTCTTTGTGCCCCCCTTTTTTCCTTACCATTTTTTCATTTTTCCTCCCCTTTCTCCCTTGTTTTTCATGGGCAAGTATCAAAAAGGATTACGAATATTTAGTATTTATGCATGAGAAAAATCAGGAAAAATTCATTTACATTCAAATTCATTCAATAGACTGTACGACAATTGCAGATACAAAAATTTTTAAAAAATTATGATTTTTTAAAATCCGCGTCATTTTAGAAATGGTAATTTCAATCATTTTTAAAAATTTTTTAGAAATTTTTAATCCCCAATTGTCATATACGCAATCGTCAAATTTTTATAGTTTTGGGGGAACTATTCGATTTATAATAAATTAAAATCTTGTCACTAAATTTGGAGTCGAACCTAGCAATAATAAAATGGTCGCTAGTTGAAGTCTAGCAAGGTCTTGTCCTCTAGGGTTTTCTTGCCCATGAAAAATAAGGGAGAAAGGGAGGAAAAATGAAAAATGGTAAGAATAAAAAGGGGGGCACAAAGAGGAGGGTATACGAACCGAAGAATTACCAAGGTGTTTTCTTCAATTTTTGGGGATGCCCTCCAAACTATCCGGAAACATTAGTTTACGAAAAAGACTGGTACTCTTGTGTTATCTCCCCCCATTTTATTTTTCTTCTTCTTTCTCCATAAAAAGCATACATGAATCCGATTAAGATACTGTTAAAGAATTATGGCGATAGGTACCCAACTCTGGTTTTTTAAGGACCATTGACCATTATTGTGCTTGTGTATGGTAACTCTGGATGAATAGGGCCCTCTATTCCCTTAAAATATTCTGGTAAACAGTGAACGTATTGTAAATAGAAGTATTGGTAGACATACCAACGTTGAGATTGGAACTCTAATTTCAAAACATGGTAACTCACGACATAGATTCAATTTGCCCATGTGCATTTTTGAAAAATAAAAATGATAGGGGAAGAAAAATAAAATGGGGGGAGATAACACAAGAGTACCAAAAGACTTAGTGAAAGCATAAAAATAACAATAAAAGCTTTATAACTTAAGAAAATCCTTTCGTTAATTATTCTTTATCCGGAAATGATTTATAAAAATTGCAACTTTCCAGAAAAATTGCAACTTTCCAGAAAAAAAATAAATAACTATCCCGGTTATTTAATAAAAATAATTGGGCATAATTATGGGCATGCTGGGAGTGGTTGGACTCTTTCGCCTGCAATTGTTTATTATTTTAAAGCTTCGGATCGAGAAAATGTTAAGTGTAAGTACAAAAAGTTCAATTTGGACTTTTAATTGAAAATATTGAAGAAAGTGAAGGAGATAAGGGAATAAAAGGGTTAGTTAATATTTCTTATAATTAAATAAATAATTTTCAAAATTAGTATTAATGTGCCCATTTGTATTGTAGGAGCTGGAGTAATAGGCCTATTTACAGCTTACGATTTATTAAAGAAAGGCTTCAATAACTTAACAGTAATAGCTGAAAGTTTTGAGGAATTGACTTCTCATATTGCAGGTAATAATTGAAAATATTATTAAAGCTTTTTTTTAAACCTCCTTAAATATTAAAGGAGGTTTACTTGCACCTTTTGCTCTAGAAACTGACAATACTAACGAAAAAGATTTGATAGACAAATTTTGTATTGAAACTTGCAACTTTTATTTGGAAATTGCACAAGGGAAAAATTCTGAATTCTCTTCTGAATGTGTCCAAATAATGCCTGCTTATGTTGATGAGGCTGTTGCTAAGTTATTGGGTAGATAATTAAACGATATTTATTATAAACACTAGGGTTGTTCCCAGTCCCCGTCCCGAAAGTCAGGGGAATTTGAGAGATTTTTTGAAAAAAACCCTAATAAACAAAAAAAAAACTGGAACAACCCTAATAAACACTTTTCGGGAATAACACAGAGAGATTAAAGTAAATAAAAATATCCATCTCTCCGGAAAGTTCAAAATAAAATTTATTTAGAGCCCTATGTTACTGCTGGAATAATGAACCCTCCAAAACAAGTAAACGTTCAATTTAGCAATACTTGTCCAAATAAAAAACAAAAATTATTATTTGTTATTGACAATGCTATACTAGTACAAACAAATTTAATGATGAATAAACTTTACAAATTATTAAAAGAATCTGGCAAAATTAATTTTATTAAAAAGAGAATTGAAAGTTTTGAGGAAAATATTGAAGAATTTGATGTAATTATTAATTGTACTGGAATTGGAGCAAAAAAGCTTTGTTTGGATGAAAAAATGTATTCAATGCAAGGACATTTAATTAATCTTAAAGGTGTTAACTTCAAAGTTTAGGGATGCTCGCTAACTTTTATTTAAAATAAATCATTCTATTATAACCTCCAAATTTTCCGGAAACATCTATTAAACATTCAATTTATTGCTAGCCTTTACTGGAAACATTAAAATAGTAACAAAAAATTTTACAACTTACAAAAAATATTTCTTCTACTAAAAAGAAAATTCTTTTTATTCTTTAAATTTCCGGAAATGATTTATAAAAATTGCAACTTTCCAGAAAAGGCTTGAGAACTAAATAAAGCTTAAATTCATCCTAAAATAGCAACCGAAAAATTATTAAAGTATTCCGGAACTGTATTAGAACCTTCTGAAAATTTATTCCCCTCTAAACTTGTTGTGAGCAGCTCTTAATATTTTTAAAATAATTTTGAATTAATTTTGAGAACAAAATGAAGCTGATCTAAATTATATAATTACTTGTCATGGTGAAATAGGCAAATCAGAAAATGGCCAAATTATAGAGAGACCTTTATACTTTTTTCCTAAAAGAATACTTCCTTCTAATTTTACAAAAAATACTAATAATTCTGTGGAGGAAAAAGAATGTTTTGGTGTACTTGGTGGAACTTTTGTTCAAAGTGTGTATAATTAATTAAATTAATTTTTAAATTTATTTCTTTAGATGCTGATGAAAATTCTCCAAACTCTAGTGAATTTAATTTGCTTATTCAAAGAGCACGTGACTTCTTTTTTTCTTAGATAAATATTTATATAATGACATCTAAATCAAAGCTATTATGTATTTCCAGAACAATTTTTATTTTGAAATTTTAAATATATTTTCTGAATTACTCTTTATTAAATTAGCGGGAAAAATTTTATTTAGAATAGAGCTTTATTTAATTGTGATAAATCGAGTAGATCAACTTTTTATTTGTTAATGAGGGCATTGTGCGTTATCTAGAACGTCGAATTGTTTATGTTTATTGAAAATTTTAACAGCCTATAAATTACTGATAACTCATATTTTGGAAAAGATAAAAAATATATACCTATATATAATTTGGATTACCCCCGATAAGTAATCAAAATTATCTCTCGATATATTATATGAAGATGTCTTGTAAATTCGACTATATTTGCAATTCTAATTTTATACTTTTTTTCTAATTAAATAAAAAAACTTCCATTTTTTACGTTTAAAAAATCGAAGGAAAGTTGTAGTTTAATTTTATATACCTATTTCTATTTTTAGTGTAGCCTTATGACAGCGATTTTGATTTATTTAAGATTAATTAATCAAGTTGCGGAACAAAAAAAGAAAATTTTTTATAATATATAAAACCTTAAAAATTATTTCCCACACAATTATTTTTATTTAAAACTTTCCAGAAAAATTATTAGGTTGGAGACCGAATTGGAGACCGAACCGAGATTAGATCTCGAAGAAAATCTCGTTTATGTTATCTATATTTTTCGAGATATCGATCCCTATTCTCCTACGACACTTTCAGTCAGGACACTAATATAGGGAATACCTTAAGGACCTTTAGGAAAGAAATAAAATTACCTAAGTAAATTTTAGAAGAAAATTATCGAAAAAACAAATTAAAGGAACAACCCAAAAAAATGTTTTGTTTTTCAATTTATATTTAATTTTAAATAAAATTTGTGTACTTTTAATTTTTTTTTCTCCCTTTGTAGCAATTAATTTCTTTTTAAACTCCAACCTGTTTCAATTTGTGAACTTTTTATCTTTTTGTTTAATTTGTTAAAAAATAGATTAAAATAATATTTAAAAAAATATTTTGAAATAATGTCGAGATTTGTATTACTCCTTTTATTATTATTCATTATTTGTATAGCGGCGGTTCTTTCAAGTAAGTTTACTTTATTGGAATTTGTTCCCTGTAACTTTACATAATATACAAAAAATTATTAAAGGACACCTTATATGGGATCCTTTACTTCATGGAATTACTCCAGAAGCAAAGCGGGACTATGACAAAGCAATATCTAAAGGAAATATTCGATTAGCTGAGGAAATACGACATAGAATTGGACATGAAATTATTAGTGCCTTTTGGGCTGGGTAAATAAAATAATTAAGTCTTTAATTTAATTATGAAAAATTTTTTTAGAGTTCATGTTAGTCAACTACGCCCAATTATGAAGGAATGGGATTTGGATTTTAGTGCAATGAAGAAATAAAAGTTTAGTGTAAAACGGATATTTATATTTTTAAATTAATTATTAAAATACCTAACTAAAATCTTTTGTGTATTTTTTAATAAAAATGTTTCTTTAATGTACCTATGAAATTTACTAACGCTATTATATTTTAATTTTATTGAGTAAGAGCTTGTTATAATTTTTGAAGAAAAATTTTTTATTATGAAACAAACAGTCTACTAATTAATGTTGAAAATTTTTCAAGTTATGGACAAATATCTAGATTCTCGGGCATTGTCCACGTAAAAATTTTTTCTACTCAACTCAGCGAGGCGAATTTGAAATATAAAGCATTTCAAGCTAAATTATAGTGTTGAGCGTGCTCTTTCAAATATTAAAAAATCTCCAGTCCAAAGTAGATCCCGCAATCCTGAATTTCATAGGTTAATTTAAAATTATCAGTAAAATTTTCTGAAAAAGATACTTTTTATTTATGTATTTTTTCACTCACATCAAACAACCATTCTTTCATAATTGTTTACCTATCTAAAATTTTTCTTTGATAAAGCATCAAAATATTTCGAAATTTAACATTCTTATTTTTATATTTATTTTTACTCAGGAGTTATTTAAAATGCACTATATTTGCACTCTTAGTAAACGTTTAATATATTTATTTTGTGTCCTGTTTAATCCCCTTCTATGTCTGTTATATTTATTTAAAATTTAAAAAGATACATAAATATTTATTACAGTTCGGATACGAAAATTTTTTTTTAATATTTTATATTCGCTAAAAACTTATATTTAAGGTGGATGTGAAAGGGCTAAATTAAATAATATTTTTAAATTAAAATTTCAGATGGTTCTTAAATTTATTATTATTTCTCTTTCATATTTTGTTTTTCTATTGAATATTAAATGCAACGGAAAATCTTTTCAAGTTGAGGTGGAAATCAAAAATGATTGGGAAGGAAAAAGAGAATTTATTTATTTAAAAAATATTGAACCAATTAAACGTTTTGTAGTGAAAAAAATTGAGAAAAATAGCAATAGATATGCTAGTAATTTTAATTATAATATAGAAGGATTTTTGCATCCAGTTAATTTAAATATTAAAAGCAATACTTTTAGTGTTGAACTAGCACATAGATCAAGATATGTTCCAGCTATTCAATTAAAAAAGAAAATTGTGATTGAAATAGCCAATAATCAAAATATTCAGGATTTTTTGCCGGGATTTGAAAAACAAGTATGATTATTCGTTTATTTTAACCAACTGAGCGTATATTTTTTTGCCAAAAGTTAATCACTTTTGTGAAATTTTAGCAACCAAAAACCGGAAATTTACGAGAATGAGTGATTTTTTTAAAATTCTCTCAAAATAAAACGGTATTAGACCAAAACTCAAAACCGAAAACAGAGGTACCGGTATATAACCGGTTGTGTCCTTCTATTATTTACCGTTTATCCTCCAATAATTACCTTTTCTCAAATAATTGTCCCGTTTCAATTAATTACCCCATTCAGATAGTTCAAGCAATAATTACCCTCCGTTAAATAATAAAACTCGAATAATTTCCTCCACTAAATTAACTACTCCAGATGTTGAAATAATAATTAACAAGAGCTTTATATATTTTTATAAATATTTAAAATTCACTAATTTTATATATTTAAGGTATTCTTAAATAATAAATTTGCTGATAAGGGTAATAATTATTATCAAGTATCTATATTAGATGAAAGTTCTGATAAAAATAATAAATTGAAATCAATTGAAGAAAATATAGAGAATTATAGAGTTAAATTTTTAAAAAGTTATTGGACTGAAATTAATTTAATTGGATATAAAATTGAATTGTTGAAAAAACAAAAATTTGAATATCCAAATGAATTAAAAACAAAAATTATTTGCATTGGAAATAAAATAAGTAAATAAATTTTCATTATTGTTCATTTAATTAATTAATTGATTTTTATTGAGAATTTTAGAAGGTCAAGAAGCCAAATTTCATCCATTTTGAAAATAAAATAAGGAATTCAAAAAAGTTTAATCTTCTTAGGTGTGTAAATTTAGAAAAGTTCAAAAAAGTTGAGAGTAAGCAAAAAAAAACTCCAAGAAAAGTCTTAAGTCTACTAATTAATGTAAAAATGTTTTATTTCTAATTATTTAGGTGAAATTATTGAAGGAAATAAACGGAATTGTTTCAATTGTAATGCTAGACAAACCACTATATGGTTTGTATACCTAAAAGAAAATTACATATGTTTTGCATGCTACCTATATTTAAATAGGAATGGGAAGATTAGACCGATAAAATTGTGGTATAATTCTAAAAAGGTTTATCTTTAAATTTATTTAGGAAGATAATTTAAAAATTATGTCGAACTTCTAAACACACTTGGCTAGAATTTTGTATTTAAAAATGTAGTAATGTGGGACATGTTTCTATTAGTGTACGGCGCTGGAGGCATTTTTCCGGTGTCCGTGTACAAAATACTGGTTTTTTCGGGTTGGGGCTTGCAAATTTTTATTTGTTTGAGTTCTTGCTGTATATTTGGTTTAAGGATGATCGTCAATGCTTTAACTGCGGTACTAAACAAAGTACAAATTGTCTGTTTCATTCAGAACCTGCTAATTACATATGTAAGAACTGTTACCAGAAACAATATAAAATAAAGAAAAGAAATGATAAAAATTTAAGAGAAAAGGAATCAAATAAATAGAAACAATTCATAAATTGTTAAAGAAAAATGTCTTGAGAAAATATTAAATAAAACAAGTTAATTCTATATTTATATTATTATTCTAATATCATTTTTCTATAAACACCTTTCCCTTTATATTTATAAATAATTTCAAAGTTTAAATAAATATTTTAATTGGCAAACTCGGTAAATGTCCAGTTGATGTCCTACCTGGGCCGGTATCATAAGAGCGTGGTTGCTGGCAGAGGTGGGTCGGAACAGTCAGAGATGTCGGAAATCGGAACTGTCGGAAATCGGAAATGGCTCAAAAGTCGGAAATCGGAAATCAAAATTTTTTTTCGGAAATCGGAAATCGGAAATCGGAAGGAAAAAAACGCCGGAAATCGGAAATCGGAAGGCGGAAATCGGAAATAAAATTTTTATTTTCATAACTGAAATTTATTTAAAATTGTAAGGTGGTAAATTATGGGCCTTCTTAAGTGTAATTTGAGGGTGTAAAAGTTCTTTTTGCAACTCAAAAGTCAAATTCGAAGGGATTAAAAGAGATATTGTTGGATTTGGTAGATTAGACGGGATATCAGAGAATTTATAGAATTAATAGGGATATTTGGAGTTTAAAATTGAGGACTGATAGAGCCTATGTTCCCTCGTAATCACACGATATAACTCAAAGTCCACTTTAATCTAACCTAATCCTCCGATATACTATTCAACTTCCATTTACAGCGCCGCAGGCAAAATTTTTGGGATATTTGGGAGCCTTAAGTCAAAAATCTTCCATTTTTTGCGCCGCAGGTGAAAATTTTGAAAATTTTGGAGGTCCTTAAGTTAGATTTCTTCGAATTTTTGCGCCGCAGGCGAAAATTTTGAGAATTTTGGAAAAATCTCTAGTCGGAAATATGCTTCAAAAATTCTCGGAAATCGGAAATTTTTCCAAAATTTCGGAAATCGGAAATCGGAAGGAAAAAAACGTCGGAAATCGGAAGTCGGAAATCGGAATTCCGACCCACCTCTGGTTGCTGGTTAGGTGACCAACCAGCGCCCAACTTTTCCCCTATAATTTAAAAAGAAGAGAGAAATGGCTGCGCCGAAAAAACAGGGAAGAAAAGAAAGAGGAAAAGTATACTGTAGTTTTCCTCTTCTTTTCTTCTACCCTGCTAAGGGGCAGGGTAGAAGATTTTTTAAAAAATCATTAAAAAGCGAATTTTGATGGAAAAATTAAAAATTTAATATTTTTAAATAGCTTGAAGTGTCCTCTATTTTTTGACATAATTTTTGGAATTTTCCCTTCAAAACTTAATTTATGAGAATTTTTTTAAAAAAGTACCTCATTTTTCAGTGATTTTTTAGGAAAAAGTAGTACCTTGCTAGAAAAATCACAACTTTTAAATAAATCGGTCAAAATTTTTAATTTTTTGGTAAATCGTAGACAACACTCCAATCTATATTTTGGCAAAAATAAAATTTTTACCTCCATTTAAAAAAAAAGTTATGATTTTTCTCATAAATAGGGAGAAATGAGAAAAAACGGCGACGCCAAACCCGCGGCATAGGGTCGCCTCGGCGCTGCCGTTACGATGGTTACCTAACCACGCTCTTATGATACCGGCCCTGTCCGCAAAGGAGGACTTACTTTCATTTTTTGCTTTCTGCGTAAAAAGTTGCTTCTTCTTAATAGTCTTAATTAGGGTAGGAACCCGATCCTTCGGGTTCCTACCCTAATTATGTCGGGGATTGGGGCAGAGTAGAGCCTTCGGAGTTCGAGTCTGGGGTTTTTTAAAAAGGGGGGACCCTAGTTTTAATAAAATTCCTCCATAAGTTTTACACAATCAAATAAATTCTTCACAAAGCTGACTCAAGTTTATTTACTAATTATTTACGCAAAATATTTAATAAAAATTATTTCCTTGAAATAAATTTTGTTTTCTTCAATTTCATTATTAAATTTATTTATTTGCGCCTACGACTTCATGTCAATTAATTTATTTAAAATATTTTTTTATTATTTATTTAAAAAAAATTTTTGACAAATTAGATTACCTATAACACTTTTTAAATTTAATTTTTAAAATTTTTACATTTTACATATCATAAGAGCTTATCGTATTTTGTAAACAATTAAGTTTTTTATTTAATTATTGCATTCTTCAATACGCCTACCTAAATTTTACAACTCTTTTGCTTAATTAAATTTAAAAAATATTATTTAATGCAGAAAATATTAGCCATTAAAAACATTTACATACTTCTATAATTTAAAAAAAAAATTATTTCCTTCAAAATAATAAAATTTCCTTCTGTATATTTTTTAGGAATTTTTAAAAAAATTTGCTTGAATAATAATTGGGGAATTATGCCGATAATAGACCCTCCCCCATATATTGTTAAATAAATTTACCTGAATTTATTACCTGAATCTACCTGAGACTTATCAAAGTGGTCTATTATTTTGAGATCTATCATTTGACGTTTTTTGAAATATTTTAGATATTTTGCTTTTTTTTTTATTTTTTTTATAAAAATAAATTTATTAAAGAAAAAACAATGTCAGTTTTCCACACCACCAATTCTTCAATTATTGAAATTAATTTTTTGCCTGCATTAATTGGATCTTTACTTGGATTAACTTCTTTCCTTTCTTTTATTGCTAATATAACAATTTTAATTGTTTTGTTACGTTCAAAATTGTTAAAATCTAATCCTTTATATATTCTTGCTTCTTTAAATTTTTTTAACGATGCATTTCATGGATTTGGATTTTTGGTGTTTTTGGCGCCGACTTCTTTTGCCCAAGTAAATATTACTTAGATTCTCTATACATATTAGGATATAATTATTTATTATTCGCACCTGAGAGTTTATCAAACAATATAATCGTCCTTTATTTTTGATAATATTCTATCACTAAAAATCCATATTTATTTAAAATCATGGAAGGTGGTGACTTTAGATTTACCCAAATTGATATTTAGGAAAGAATATCTCACTCATTTGTCAGAACCATTTCAGAAGAATTTTCTGAATTAATACGATGATATTAAATGATCTGGTATAAGCCTAAATTAAATTGATTATTTAATTTGACTCCCCAACTTTCTAATTTCATTAGGGTTGGGGTTTTCGAGTCGGGCCGACGTTCGAGTCATTCTTATCTGGCCTGCCCGACCGTGTCTCTTTCGTGCTTCGTTTTTATCGAGTCGGGCATCGAGTCATTTTCGGGCCAAAATTCGATGCCTGGGTCGATCTTTTGGACTGGTCCGGACCAGGCCCCCAACTCCCTAATATTATTAAGAAATATACAAAATAAAAAATTAATTTTAGAGTTATTTCTTCTCAATATTTGAACCATTTCAACCATTGTGGATTGTCTTTATGTTTGTATTTCAATTATCATATTACTCCTCCCTTTTAATTTTAATTTCAATTGCTATAAATCGGTTAATAAATAAATTAAATTTTTTAAAAGAATAATTTTAAAGAATGATAGCCGTAGTTTTTCCAAATAAATCACATTTAATTGATGATCGAGCAGTTAAAATCATTGTTTTTTCTATTTATCCGATAGCAATTCTTCTTTCGTTATTTGCCGATTATGTTTTGCCCTGTTGTCGGTTAGTTCTGTAGTTATGTAAATTATTATTTAGGCTGGGGAAGGGTTGACGGTCCTACATCAAATAGAACCGAACAAACAAAGACATGGACAATATTTCCCATTAGAAAAAACTTTAATTTTTATAAAAATTAAAATATTATAAAATTTTAAGTACAAATTATTCGTACAAAACATACTCTTACCAATTTTTTGTTTGGAATGAATCAACTACAAATTATAAAAATATGATAATGGATTTACCTATGAATATAATTACAACTACAATAATTTTTATATGTTATGGAGCTGTACGCAAAAAATTTTAATAAAACATTTCTAAATTAAGAGAGGGCTCCTCGGGGGGGGGTATGTCAAAAAAAACAAATCGTAAAAAAATGTCAGGGTATGGGATTTTCAAGGGTTGCGGGCTGAGTTGAAGAAGGGGTGAAATATAGCATAATTAGGGGCGTAGATCATTTAAATTAATCTAAACTAACAAAAAAATTTAATTTTAATAGATATTTACAAAAGTAATTAAAACTAATCGTAAAAATGTTATTCAAATGCCTTCAAATACGGAATTCAAGAAAAGTAAACGTAAAAGTGAACTAAAATGCGCAGCACATTTTGCTTTAATTTCTACTTTTTATATAGGTAAATTTAAATATGTATGAAAAATAGTATAAAATAAATATTTTTATAGCTGTATGGGTATCGTATAGAATATTTCCATTAATTGTTTCATCATCTACTCCTGAATGGTATTCCTTAACTGGATTTTTTATGATTTTAAATATATCTTCTAATGCCATAATTTATTTTACAATGAATAAAGAAGTGAGAAATTATTATTAAAATTTATTTTTTAAATAAATAAATCTTTAAAGGTCCAAAAACAATTAATTATCTCTGCTTATACTTTATTTGGTTTGCCAACCACAACTTTAACAAATCCTTCAAACAATTTAATAAATAATAATAGAAATAATAATCTGCAAGAAAGATGGGCTAATCAAAGACCAACACAGCTTCAACCTGTGAATAAAATTGTTAGATAATGTAAACTATGATTCCCGACTCTAGTCCTGTTTGCAAGCGGTACACCTCAACTGAGTCACCTCCTATCCTCCAAAATCCTTTGATATCCTTTCTAATTTCCAAATTCACAATATACCTCTTACTCCTATCGATAACCACCCTAATCCACTGATATCCCCCAAATCACTTAAAATCCTCTTATATCCTTCCATATTCGTCGCTATCCTTCTTGATCCCACGATGACACGTACATGTCAATGATGTTTACTTTAATTCTTCTAAATCCCAGATATCTCTTTTAATTCTTTTAATCTTATTAAACTATTGGGACTCAGTTGAGGTATATATCAGTTGAACTGTTTCGGGTGGCAGTGATGGAATGAACACATTTTTTGAATAAGCGAGTTAAATGTTTAAAAACATTTTTGGGCTAAAAATAATATTTATGGAAAGAAATGACAACAGGAAAAATGTATAAAATATATGCTTTACTTTCTCACTTCATTTAATTTTTTTGTATACATTCGAGAGTGTTTTTGTTTAAAATTTAAAAATAGAAAGTTTTTTGATTTACTGTTATTCGAACTATTATTACATAAAAATTTTTATGTTTTATCTTTAACCTAGCGAAATAAATTAACCTAAATATTAAAAGAAATTTTATCAATTAATCTTTATAAATTTCATTTAAATTTTTTCAACATTTAAATTAATTTTTTGTATTTATCATAAAAATATTCTTCCATTATAGTTCATATTGGCAATTCAAAGCATTTTAATTCTTTCCTCAATCTTCTAGAAATTTAAATTTATTAAATTTATTTTTTATCTTTTGAGTAAGCTGATATCCATATTAGGGAAAAATAGTCAAAAATTATCAGCAGAAAGTCGAAGGAAAACTTTTTTACTGTTTTGGCACCAGAGGTGGGTCGGAATAGTCAGAGGTTCGGAAATTACAAAAGCTTGCAATCGGAACTCACTCAAAAGTCGGAACTTGGAAATCGGAAATCTAAATTTTTTTCGGAAATCGGAATTCCGACCCACCTCTGTTTGGCACTCATCCCAAACTATATGGTCTTATAAAATTTTATTTTATTTAACCTGGAGTTGTTTCATGATGACAGCATCCAATATTATCACAAATCGACTTAACTAAATTACAAACAACTTTATCCCCACTAGCTTTTGTACAAGTATCATGACAATACTTTTCACAATCAAGTTTAAGAATTTTACAGTGCTCCTCCACCGAGAGACTAACCAAAAACAAAAGAATAGCCACAATTATTATAAATTGTTTCATTTTTGAAAATAAATTATTTTTATATTATTTTGCTAAACTATAAGTCTGAGTAAAATGAAAATGGTTTTGATCGAGGAATCAGGGGTTGAAACTGCGGAGTCGGGTTTAATGAGGTTTGGCTGAAGTTTTAGAATTTTACATTAATAGAGATGTAAAATTCCGGATTTCCCAGAATTGTTTGACTATACTATTCAAGATTGTTTAAATTTACTAGTGATGTGCGAGTCTCGGTCTTGACTCTCGAGTCGAGAAATTTCTAGGGTTTTTCGGGCTCTCGGTCTCGACTCTCGGCTTTTTTTAACTCTCGAACATCACTAATATTTACTCAACTTTTGAGTATAATGAATTGAATATTAATTAGTATATCCAAAAAAGATAGGTACCTAAATATAATAATTTAAATTTTATTGCGAGAAAATAATTTATAAATTTTTAAACTCCTCGTCTTATATATAAAATTTTTGACATTTTTAATTAACGTTTTTTTCAACACTTTAATGTGAATAAAGTTTAACATAATGTTATCTAGTTTTAGTTTAAAAATGTTTGTCACGAATTTTTTCCTACAATCCTAAACTTGTAAATAATAAATTCCTATTGTTGATTAGTAAGGAAAAGCGTAATATAAATGTTTGTTCATTTTGCCATTTTGTAATTGAGAAAAAAAAATATTAAAATTAAATTAAAATATTTTTGACTTTCTCATAAATTATTTTTATTTATTATTTTAATTATTAAATTATTGTGCCAATTTAGGTATTTATCGTTAGAATTTAAAGTACAGTAAAATTCATTATTAATAATTTTATTTATTATTTATCATTTAATCATTCACATAATTTATTCCTTTTCTGCTTTATCACTTCATTCTTTATAATTTGTTCAATACTAAAAGAGAATATTTAAAAAAATTATCTTAAATTCTCAAAAATTATGTCAACACTACATATTTTCTTATAGAAATTCTACAATAATTACTTAATAATTACTAGCAGAATTTTAGCATTACTTTTGATATATGTACTAGTATATCATAATCTAACAATAATCTAAATAATATTTTTAATTTCCTACCTCCATTTAATAAGCCAAAGCCATGGGAATGGCATATACTGATTGCTTTATCCAAATCAACACACAAATCTACATCAAGTAAACATTTGTCACATATAACAGCACACAAATTAGCAAGATCGTTATCATCGTCATCATTACCCGCTTTAATTGAAGCAATCATTGTCATGCTTATCAAAAGATAAAGTACTCCGAAAATCATGAAAGTTTTCATTTTTAAATCAAATAATGTTATTATGTTTATCTGAAACTAAAATGATTTTTATAAAATTATTTAGAAAATTAATTTAGGAGAAATGTTATTAATTTTGAGGTTAGATCAAATAATGCTTAAAAATAATCATAAAACAGATACTCGCAGAATTGTATTAGCGCCGCGTGCAGAAAAATTTTTCGAGACGTATTAAAGCAACTGAAAAAATTATTTTTTCACGGGGATGCATTGAATTCCGAAATTTTTTATGTGATCAGATTACATGATTCGCGGCTACTGATTTTTACAGAAAAAGGAAAAACTCTGAAATTATTAAATGGGATAATCTAAGTTAAGGTGATTTGATATTAAAATCAGTTTTAGTTTTTCAACTGATACCTTTCTATTAAATTCACAGCTATATTTATATACAAATCTCTGACTGAACTTTAACAATAACAATTTTAAAATTAATGTAAATATTTTTGAAGTTCATAATAATCAAAAAAACATTTATTATTTTTATTGCCAAAAAATTTAAATTAATATTTTTTATCACGTTATTTCTAAAAATAATCTATCTATTTATTGACCGATCAAAATAAATTATTCAAAAAATACTTTTAAATGTAAATATTTATAAAGTTTATCATTTTAAAAACAACCTAAAATAATCTATTTTTGTATAAATGCCAATAATTTGAATATCTATATTTATGAAATCATTTAAAATTATTTTTAGTAAATATTTAAAATATTCTTAAAGGATAATAAAATGGAATAGCTATGATATACTATAAGATTATCAGATCCTTACAACTCTTTGTATATTAGGCTGGGACATAAATTTCAGCATCTGTTCAATGACACTTTATAGAAAACTTCTAACAATATTTTTTACCTTTTTAACCCTTATTAATCTTTATAATAAAATTATGTATATGAATTTTACCTTACCTACGAAAGATTTTCAAAGGATCCAAAAAGTCTAAATCAATGACTTGATAAATAGACTATTAACGAAAACCCTCACAGATCTATTGAAGAATTAAGAGTATTTTACACCTTTATGCTATCCCTTTAATATCTCTTATTTTATATACGAATAAGCTTCATATTTAAATATTTATTTACAAAATCAATGAAAAATCAAATAATTTAAATATGTTAATTGATCATAAATATCGTTAAAAAATTTTTTAGATTATTATCAAAATATATTAATATTCATGCATATTTTATTAAATACCATAGTTTTTATTAAAAATTAATATTGTCTAATATCCACAATGATCTAAAAAGAATAATTAAAATTAAAATTTATTCATTTAAAAACCTTCAGTGCAATTAAACCCCAATTTTGCACATCGCTTTTTCACAGAAGCAAACAATCCTTTATAACTCTGACATGTGGGTAAATTTGAACAATTTCCTGCACAATCACTACATAATATTGTACATCCATCTTTGCATAAATCAGAATAAACGATAATTAATAAATTAATTAATAATAAAATTATTCCAAAAAATAATAAATTATTCATAATTAAATCTGAAATTCTGTTAATTTTTAGTTATTTTAAGTCAGAAAAACTTTTCCTTGAATTTTAACTGAACGATGAAATTTAAAAATTTTAACAGACTTGGTAATGGACATGGATGGATCTTGGTATCCGTATCCGGATATTTACGGCGGATACAGATGGATATCCGCAGGCATTTTGAACTTATCTGTATCCATATCCGCATCCATTACCAAACCTGGATTTTAACAAATCCTAGTCATTATTAATAATTTTCCGAAAATTCTTTCATTTTTAAAATTTTTCAACCATTTTTAATTATAAATGATTGAGATATAGAATTTTATTATAAATTAATTTTTAATTAATTAAGCATGTATTGATGTATAAAAATAAAATAATTTAGATAATTTATATTTAAATAAGCAGTAAAAGAAATTATTTTATTTGATTTTATTTTATTAAATGTTAAATTAAAATATCAATAATAATCACAAAAAGGAAGTATTATTTATTATACGTTATACAAGGAAAAATATTTTTTATGTTAAAATTCGTGGCAAATTTTAAACAAAATTATTCGTCACCTATAAAATATAAAATTTTATTTATAAATTTTGTTTATTTGTTTATGTATTTATTTGTTTGACGAAAAATTAAGCGAATTTATTTTTATTTTTTGAATAAATTGAATAATAAATGATAAAATTTTTTAAAAATTTAATCTTTAGTTTTAATAAGGAACAAAAATTAATTTGGAAAACATTGACAAGCATTTATAATGATTTTTGAGATTATATATTTCACAACAGTATGTATAGACTTCATGTCCGAATATTAAATGTACTTAGTAAATGCGCTTAGTACTTAGTAAATTACTTGGTAATTTTATTTTTCAATATTAACTATATTTATTTGGCAGTATACTTTATAAGCTAAACTTGGGGATATGAATATAATACCAAATTATGATGTGTCAAAATAATAATTATCCTCATCCAGATAATCCTTAAGCTTCCCCCCTTTCCCGTCCCTTCATTATCGAGAGAATAAAACAATAATTAGCCATATTAATTAGGAACATAACAGCAATACAAAAATGTCAAATCCAATTTCCATTTTCAAAATTACTGTAAATTTTCTAATTTAGGTTTCATAATAATTAAATTAACTTTCACCCCATTAACATTAATAAATATTTAAGACTGAAAAATGAAACTTTTATTAATATTTGGACTTCTTTTATTTTTTATTAAAATATTTTCGGCCAATTCTGACTTAGAAAAAGATATATGTAAATTATTATGTAGTCCCTGTGCAACTTCTTGTATATTTGTTAATAAATGTGTGTTTATGCATCCAATGCTTACAGAAGCAAAACAAAAATGTAAAAAGATTGGGATTACCTGTACTTATGATTAATTGGTTTGTATGAAAGGAATTAGTTTTAAAAATTTTTTTAACTTTAGAAAGTTTGGTTTCAATAAACAAAGAAAATTGGACATAAAATTTTTATTTAACTCCTGATATGTGAAATGTATAAAATGATTCTTTTGCTTAACAAATTAAAAAAAATGAATAAAAACTATGGTATTTGATAAAATATGCATGAATATTAATATTTTTTGATAATAATCTAAAAAATTTTTTGTTGTGTCTAATATTATTTAAAAATTTTGTTTATCGAGATATCTATGGTTAAAAAATTTTCAGTTTTTTGAGATTATTTCAAGATACCGATTTTCTAACATGATAAAATCTTGATTCCGGTCTCTAGTCTAACAGGTGATAGACTAAACACTTTTCTGAATAAACGAGTTAACTTTCTAAAAAATTTTTTTCTTGCTAAAACAATATTTACGGAGAGAAATAACAGCAGAATATAACGCATAAAATGTGCTGTGCTTTTTCGCTTGATTTAAATTTTTTGTATTCATTTGAGAGTGTTAAAATTTTTTAAAATTTAATCTTAAAAAGTTAAGTTGAATTTCGAGTATGTTATTTAAAAATTTGTGGAGATTTTTATATTATATTGTAGATAATTTTTTTCCTATTATTTTAAAATATTTTATGCCTAATAAGTTTATGATTTAGTGAAGGTGAGGCTAAGAAATTATTATGAAAATTTTATCAAGAATGTGTTTCATTTATTTTATTTGTTTCAAAATTTTTGAATAAACGCCAAACTGAGAGAATAGTTGCCACTGATATTAATTAAAATGTTGCCGTTAATTGAAATTAGCTTATCAAAAGAGTAGAACATAACTGAGGCTAATCCTGAGGTTATTCTTCTGACTTCCCTTCTAATAACAAATAATAAGTTTGAACAATCCTTAATCATTTAAGTGCGCAAATTAACTTACGAATGATTGTTTAATTACACAAAAAATAATAGTTATGATCATTGAATTAATTGTTTATGAGTTTTAAATAAATTTATAATATGATATTACAAAATTTTTTAATACTTTACCGGATATTTGAAATTTTTATTTAAATTTTTTCAAGTATTAAAAATAATTTAATAAAAACTTCGATTTTAGCATTTGGTCGGTTTTTTTAGCTATTAATTTCAAACAAATACAAAATTATCAAAAAAATACGAAAAAAATGTGGATAATGTTTTAATTAAAAAATAGAATTCAACGTATCGTACGACGTGGATCTAAAAAATTATAAGGAAATAACATTGAGAGTGTTGTGAGCTTGAATTAAATTTCTGTTATATTTTACTGTATAATATTATCAAGTTATTGTTTATTTAAAACTTTAAAATAAATACGACGTATGTTGATATCACTTAAAAATAAATTGTAAAAAAAGTATTGATAATGTGTTGGCAAATATCTGAAAAAATTCTTATTTTTACATTAATTGGTAGAATTTCTTGTTTCTTTCTACTTCCTTGATATCTTTTGTTTACACAAAATAAGCTTACAATTCATTGACACGTAAAGATGAAAACATTGTCTTGAAAAATTTTATCAAAATTATTTTTTAATTTTTATTTTGAGCAATAAATAAACAAAATAATATTGTTTGTCTACAAACACAACAAATTGTATGATTGAAAATTTAATTCTCATTAACGGCTAAAGAATAATGATTTTTTATTTACTCCATTTTTGCTATTTTTAATTTGGCTTTTGGTTAATTATTATACAATATTCATTGTTATAATATCTATGATCATCCAGACATAACCCGCATTATAAGTGGATTCAACTCAAAATATACAGAAAAATATTATTACTGTTTTTATAATTAGTAATTATTCAATTATGTATAACCTTATTTTGATTTTATATACAAAAACATTTAATATTCCAATAATTTAACTACACTTGATTAAAATTTTAAAATAAAATATTTATTTTATTTTATATTTTAAACTTTTTGATAATTTCGAATTAAGAAGTCTAAAACCTTTCGATTAATATTTTTTAATATCTAAAATAAAATCATCATGACTAATATTACAAAAAATCTTTCAATTTCCTTAATATTTTTTGCTTACATAAAATAAGCTTACAAATTTCTATTGACACGTAAAGATGAAAAAATTGTTTTGATTCTATCGAAAATGTGTTTTGTTTATTTTGTTAAATAAACAAAAAAACGAACAAAATAGTTGCCTTCCAACAATATATTTTTTGTTTGAAAATTAAAACGCTTTCAATTGTTTGATAAATTCATAAACATTTCATTTTAAAGATTTTTTGCTCTATTTTTGTTAAAGATTTTTTGATTAAAATTATTTATGTACAAATTAACATTCATGAAACTGAAGCTATGACATCGTTTTTTAATCATACATTTGTATTTTAAAGTATGTACCGTAATTAAAGTTTTATTAAACACGGAACACATTACGTGTTAACCGAAAAGAGGTTTGTTAGCTCTGTGGTAAGTTAGGCTGATTATCGTAACTTATATAAAAAAGGAAGTTTTAATTGTTTTATATATAATATTTTTAACTTTATAATTTTTCTGATTAAGATATAATTTATTTAAATATAAAAAATTAAAAATCAAATTTATTAAAAAATAACAAATATTATTTTTATTTTACTAATATTTATGTGAATTAATCGAATTTCCTATTATTTATTGTTGCTTTGTAATTAGGTAATAACGCAATTCATCACGAAGTTGTTCTATAATAAATATTATTTTGATTTAACTTAAATTAATTTAGACCATTTGTTCGAACAATAGTGCCCTGCTTGTTTACATTGAGTAAGCAATGATGATTTGAGTTCTACCAAATTTCCATCTTGACAAAGTATACCTACGTTTAAGAAGCAACTATGGCAAAGAAAATTACAGCAATCTGCAAAAAAATCTCCTCCATTTACTGAAGTAATCATTGCTATGTTAAGTATCAAAAAAATAACAAAGAATAACTGGAAGCTATTCATTATTTCTTTAAAAAATTTAATTTATTAAAATGTAATTAAAATTTTCGGCAGGACTAGGATTAAACGGCCTAATCGTTTTTTGGTATTTTTGGGGTAAAATTTGAATATCAAATGACAGATTATTCGAGAGGTTAAGTTAATAAAACTAATACCTTAAAATACCGCTATAAAAAATTTATTAATTTTAGGTAATGACTAAATATTAGGAACTTTTCAATATTTATATTCAGGTTATTGAGAGTTTTAGCTATTAAAATTAAAAAAAGTCGTGGCAAATTTTTACACGAATATTTTTTATTACAATTCAAAACATAAATTTTTACCTAAACTTATAACTTATACTTATTTTTTGCAAAAATATTCTATAAATTTTTTGCAAAGATATTCAAATTTGTGGACAAGAAATTTAAAGCATAAATTATCTTACAGTGTTTAATAATTTAATTGAATTAGTGATATACATATAATTTAATAAATAATAAATTATCTTTGTTGATAAGAGAATATGTGAATTAATTATTAATTAAATTAATAATTTTAAGTTACTTTGAAGAAGCTCAAAATATCTGACAAAGTATTGCCAAAGATTGAATTAATGGAGTGGATGTCCCTGGCTTTTTGTTCAACGTTTGATGGTTGAAGTTGGAACAACTTCTGGCTCTTCAAATGCCATTCTTCTATTAAAAGAGATGTAAAATCTAATTTCAAACCTCGGATTAAGAGCCATAATATCAAAAGAAACAAAATTTTAGATCAAATTTTTACTATGTAATCATAATGCTACGAATTATCTAAGAAATTAGTTTGTTAAGAAAATGGACACTCTAATTTGGCAACGCTTTCTTTCCTACACATTGCATATTATAATTTTTATTAAAGATAATAGAAAATTTAAAATAATTTAAAATAATATTTAAAATAATTTTTAATCATTCTTCAAATGAAGATCTTATTTTCATTATCAAAATTAACAATCCATTCTCCTTATTTTTTATTTTTTCATCACCTATCTCAAATTTTATCCAAATTTTATTATTCCAACATAACATAAAATCCGCAAGCTTAGTTCTAACATTTCTATTTATTGCTTTGATAAAAATAATTTCACCTATTGTTTGCATGATTTTTTGACTTTGTTGTTGGAAATTCTAACAAATTTATGTTTATATTTGTTTACGAATCTTTTCTAAGTCAAGAATTAATTCCAACACGACAAATTTTCTCATTTTTTGTGTTGGCAGAAAGGAAAAAAATTGAAAATAATTTCTTGTTAAATTTTTTTTGCAAAAATTTTTTTATATTAAAACAAATTTAGCAAAAAAATTTTAGATTTTTAAAATTGAAAATAGCACATAAAAGTTAATACAATTAATAATTTCTCAATATTATTAATAAAAGACGTATGCTTGGATAAATAAGCTAAAAAACGAGTGATATTAATTATAATTATTGAACAAAGCCTTAGTTAACGTAAAATATAATGTTTTATAATTCTTAGAAACTGCCAAACATTTTTGGAATTCATGTCATTTTATATGAATTTTTAATTTTAAAAATTCTTAGCTAAAATTTTTAATTTTTTCAGACATCAACCCAACACTTAATTTTATTATCCTTTCCAAAATATTTCATCCTCCAGACATCGATTATTTGCGAGGATGACAAAGGCGATGAATAATCGTTTATTTTCTTGTTTAGAATTTTCTGCGCGACATTTCGTTCTCCCATTTTCAATCCTGACTATTTTTATTCTTTCCTTTTTTTATTCTTTTTTAATTCTCGATTTTTATTTTATTCTTCCCATTATCGACATAAATTTATTTAAATGCCTTCAGAAAAAAATATTCAAATTGAAGTAAATATTTAAATTTATTTAAAAAATATTTTTAAGAATTTCGATCCAAATGCTCCAGAATTCTTTCCATCAACTTGTTGTGAGTTTCTGCATGTTAAGTCCGCCTTATATGTTGCTTCCTTTATCCAAGTTGATAAAATATAAATAAAAATTTAAAAAAATTTTTAAATTAGCTAGCATTTGTGTTCTCTTTAACACTTGTCTATTTAATACTCGAACAATCTCAATTTATTAATGCAGTAGATGTTTTTAGACCGGGAGTTGGATTTGTTGTTATAGTCAACTTGGCTGGAATATTTTGTGCTGTGGGTTATTTGAAATTTAAAACTATTATAATGTAAAGCTGGCGAAGTTCCCTCCCTGCCTAGAAAATAAAACTTAAAATGAAAGCGATCAGTCAGTGGTGAGATTGGTGAGAAGCGGTTAATCAACCTCGCATTGAAACGATCTCAGTATCAAGTCCCATCCAATCCCTTGCCATTTTTTTCAGTCATTTAAAATAATTTTATAATTATTTCTGAAAAATTTTTTAGTTAACCGGTGTATGTTTACAACGTGACCTTTTTATTTCTGTCCAAATTATGCTCCTTCTGGGACTTGTTTGCCTCTCAGATTTATTTGCCTTTATTTTAGGTATTTCTATAAATCTTCATTTAAAATTTTTTTGAAAGTATTTACAATGGCCTTCGGTTCGAGAATTTCACTTGGAAATTCCTTGGATGCCAAATCCTTAGTTCAATCTGTTTTGGTTAATGACCAACGTTGGGAATACTTTCTTGGCCCGTTTTGGCCCTATTTGTTGGCTATTATTTTCCATATGACAGCTTGTGCAATGATTTGTTTTGTGGCTATATATCGGCGATATAGGAAATTTTTAACGGTACTGTCTGTTATTTATGATATTTTTATTATGATAGAATTATTCTTAAATAATATTAGTCTAATATAAAGTTGCCGGTTCCGGGTATTCGGAACACCCCCGGATATCCGGAAATTTTCGGCTCGGATACCAGAATTAGGGAAAAGAAAAATTCTTAATTCACCTTAATCCCCTTAATCCTCTCTTATAAATGTAAATGTTTATTACAAAATATTTATTTTTCAGAGAAAATACGCAGCGATATCAGATTCTTTTACACTACGACACTGACCTTTAAAGAAAAAAATTTAAAAATATTTATTATTAAATTACATTTTTCTCCTCTATTTCACCCCAAAAAATTATTTTATTTCATTAAAAAATGCGTGGGTGAAACGAACAGTTTTAACATTGTCAAATAATATTAACTAAAAAATAAAAAATGTGGATTTGTTACTAAAATTTTGAACGGATTCGAAAATGTTACTCAACCGGAAAGTGTTTTAAATTTAAATAATATTGGAAATTTACTTTGTTTTTTTAAATTAGCTGTCAATCAGCTGTAACAAAATTAAATTGCTTAAAGCGAGAAAATTAAAATAAACATTTTTTCAAAAATTAACGAATTTTTCTCAAACTAAAGTTTTATGAAATAAAAGAAATATTTACTTAGAATTTTTTAAAAATTTTAAATATTTTAAATTAGTATCTAAAATTAGTTTGTTTATTTTTTACACATTTTTGTTTTTAAATTTAAACGAAAAATTTAAACTATACCTAGGGTTTATTAAATATTTAAGGTTAATAAATTTAAGGTTTATAAAAGTCTGTTTAAACTTTTTTTCAAAATATTAATTGTCGATGAATTAGTGGGTACACCCCGATGTACCACGAGCCCAAAGTACCGCCAAACTATAACTTGTTCAAAATTGTCGAATCCGTGGCGTCCTGGTATGGTTCGATGCGGCTCGACAAACTGAACCGAACCATACCATGGCGCTACGGATTCGACAATATTGAAGAAAGTTATAGCTCACAAATCAGTGGTACATTCGGCTCTTTGTACACTGGCCTGCTCCCGGATTAATAACTAAAATACTTTGATTCCCTTTAAATTTATTTCGGTAATCACCCAAGGATTTTTGTCAAAACCTTTTGTATGGATTCGAAAATGGCTGCTTGTGTTTTAAGTTTTGAGGTTTTGTTTAATTTTTGAAAGATTGTTAATTTCCTTTTTTTGTTTTTTTCCTTTCACTAGTCGCTCATTAGAAATTAATTCCCTCGCGATTGTACTTTTTCCTTTTCCTTTTCATCTCCTAACTTTTAAGTCCCAACTTTTGTTTTTGTTAATCCTCTAAATATTTTGTTTATTTTACTTTAATATTTTTTGACTTGAAAAAGAAATTGTTATTATTCCTTTTTTTGAACTTTAAAAAAATATTTTTTAAATTTAAACATCTACTCATTACTTCGAGATATCTCATACCAGGGATCGCGACGATTCCCGACGATTTTTGGCTCTTGAATTCACGATTCCCGAAAACCGGGAATTTGATTTTCTGTCGGCGCGTTCCCTGTCTCATACTATTCCCGTTTGACACTCCCAGTCCTGCCTCTAATTTAAACTCAAATCTTTTTTCATTATTTTCCTCCCAAAAAAACGTAAATTTTCTATCCTTTTCCCAATTTTCCAACGAAAACCTTAAAACAATTTACCCAAAAATTTACTCACTAATTTAGAAAAGATTTAACAAATTTTAACAATTTAGTGTGCCAAAATATCCAAAGAAATTTGAGATAAACGAGTTATGTTTCAGTCAACCATTTTGTGTGTTTAACTAATTTTTGGATATCCAAAAAATCTTTCTCCCATTTTATTTTTCTTTCATTTTCCATTCTTTTATCCAAAATTTTATGACGTGTTATTGTCTTAAGTTTTGGAATTTTGGCAGCAAAAAACAATTAATAAATTGGGCAAAAGGGCATGCCACATCAATTTAATTTCCCCCTACTTTCTTTTAAAGTTTTATTAATCCACAAGGGAATTAAAAACATCAAAAAATCTGCTAAAACATTTAAATATATAACCTTTAAATATTTATTTGGATTTATTTTCTACGTCAAAAACAAATTTTTTATATACACCATTGTTTATATAAAAATAAATTTGAATTAGTTTGAAACTATTTTTGAAATTAGGTTCAAAAACATTTAGTTTACACATGAAATTTTACAAAATAAAAACAATTTAATATTAATAATTTGAGCAAAAACTCGAAATTTCATCTCTAGAATTTCTTCAGATTTTTGGAATTTTTTTTTCTAAATTCGCCTTCAAATATCCATTTTTATAAAGATTAAGAATATTCTAACTGTATATAATTCACAAGGATCAAATTATAAGTTTAAAAAATAGTTAACATAAGAAGGCATTTAAACTTTTTAAATTTATTTTAAAATAAACTTTCCCAAAATTGAGGGACACTATACCACTTTACTAACCGGAAAAAAATTGAGATGAAAAAAATAATTTTAATAAAAAAATAAGTTAATGTTTAATAATGTTAATACTCAGATATTAAAAAATCAACGAGTATAGACCGAAAGGAGATCTAATAATCTTTGAGATAAAAGTTTAATAAGACTTGTAAAAAATAAAATAAATTTAATATCAAAACAACATAAATTAACACAATTTTATTTAAATTTAGGGATATTATTACTTCCCAAATTTTATTCTTTAAAATAACACAATGATTTGTTACTTCCAAATGTTTATTTTATTAACATCTTTATTCCTTTGTTTTGGAGAGATAATTGCAAATGGAGAGGCGGGTCATAATAATGAAGAAATTGGAATGGAAAAAAGTAGGGAACAAATTAAGCGATTGTCAAATTATTTAATAAAAATTTCAATAAAAATTCAGGAATGCTTTCATATGCTGATTTAATGAACAATTTTGGAGGACCTAGTGCTCTCGATTTGGCGGGTCAGGGCCTCCTTATAGACGATGAAAGACCAAAACGAGAACAAAATTATAATAATGACGATGTACATATAATGACTCTTTGGAAACGATCACCTTCCTATGGACCTTCTTTCTTTAACACAGCTGGTGATTTGACTAAAAAGGATGATTTTATTGCGCCAGGAGTTTTGAGATTCGGGAAGAGAATGCCTGGGGTTTGGATCTTATATTTAAATTTTATTAAAGAAATTTTATTACACTCGAACCTCTCATTTATAGATAACCCCAATATTATTTACAGCTCTAATTGGGTTGCGTTTAATATTTAGACCAACCATATTAAAATTTTTCAAACCTCAGGGATATCGAAAATTATATTTCAATAGTAACTTTCTCTCACAAATTGCTTCTCAATACTTTCTCTCACATTTTCTCTTAAATTCAGGTACTTCGGTTTGGCAAAAGGGACAGAGTTGTTATACAAGAAAAGAAGGCCGTCCCAGGCAAGCTCCAATTATAAGATAATTCTTAATTTTCAAATAATTTAAGGAGTACTCCGTTTTGGCAAAAGACAATCTCAAGAGAGTGGAGCAGTCCCAGGCGTGCTCAGATTCGGTAAAAGAATGCCTCAAGTCCTCCGATTTGGAAAATAAATGAATTATTCCAACACAGAATTTTCAAATAAATTTTATTAATATATTATAGCCATTCCTTTCCATCATCGTTCTATTGTCTTTTCCGCCATTGCCATTTATTTTTTATGGCACAGAATAAATGAATTTGAGTATTTTTTAAAATTTATTTCAGATTTAAATAGATTTTTATGGAACCGACACAAATATTTAGATCAGGGCTTGGATTCGTCTTATTCTGAAAGCACAGTAATTACATACCGACCTTGATACTTAAGAAATTGGAAATGTATTTATTTGTAAATAAACTTTTTAGTTAAAAAATTTTATCTAGAAAAGGTGAGACTCTGACTTTTAGAAAAAGAATCCGACTCTACAAATATTAAATTTTAATCTTCTCTATTTAAATCGTCGGCAACTTTTGCGACATTTCCTCTAACAAAATCGCCGAAACCATGAACAGATCCAAAATTGCGGACTCCTTAATTTTAATATTGAAAATTAATTTTGGATTAAAAAATTAAGAAAATCAACATGGAGACTGAGATTAATTAAGTTTATAGAGAAGAAATAAAAATTTCTAGCTAGTTTATTTTTAAATTACTTACTTCTATGCGATTTCGTTGGCAGCGGTGTACATTTCTTTTCAGTCATGCATGTGATGAACGTTCTGAATTTTAATTAATTTATTAATAAGAAATACTAAATAAATTTCTTTGCTTGGATTAATTTTTGAGATAAAAATATTAAATATCTTCTAATTTGTTAAAAGAAAAACTTTACGTGAAACATTCACACATTTCTTTTGAACAGTCGTTTATATCAGCGGAAGCACATTCCTTTAATACAACATCACAAGTTGAAAAATTTTTAAAATAATTCAAGAGAGTATCCTTCTCACATATTTTGTGCACGACTGCTGAATATTTGCATATATCTAGATCCTGCATGCATCTTTCAGTTAAAAAAAATTTATTTTAATTTTATGATTATGTAATGCCATGTAAATACATGTTCTATATGAGGATATGATTTGAGTCGAAAAATCTAATATTGAACTTCAAATCACTCTGTTTCTTAGCAAACAATTTTTATAATATATTTTTGTGCCTATTCCAGAACTTATTGCAAATTCTTATGTAATGTATATTTTCAATATTTTAACAAAATATATACATATAATCGAATCTCACACTAACGTCTTGAATTCTTCTTAAATTATTATCGAACTAAACAAATAGTTGACGTTCGAAAATCAAATATTTGATCAACATTAAAAAAGATCAAATTTTCTTAGATATTTTCAAATATTAAATTACTTGATACAATCCTGATTCCTATTTATCGTACGATTCCTATTCTAAACTTGAATTTCTACAAATTCAACTGTTCCTAATTCTATTTTGTATTTTTAGTATCTTCCAATTGGCAAATAAATTATTTATAAATAACATACAGGCAATCATCAAATTTGTATAATTCATTTGATTCCATAATTTTAGTGCATTCTTCGACACTTGGTGGTTTAACTGGTTGTTCAGCCTGTTCAGCTTGCTCATCTCCTTTTGTTATAACAAAAGTAACTAGTGCCAGAATAAAAGTAGTTTTTCTGAAAAGTTTTATCAGTTATTTTAACAGAATATTGATATTTGAAATTTTTTATTTTTAAAGTTTGGTTGACTCTATAAAAATTAGATATATGTAATATCCTGGTTCTATTTAAGTTATATTTAAATTAGTTTATTTCAAAACAAAATAAAATATTCAACTTACAAAAATGTTTCATTCATTTTTATCAAAATTTTTATTTTTAATCAATTAAAATTAATTAAATAAAAAAATTTGATGTAAATATAAAATTTAAAAAATGAATCAAAATTATTTTATTTCATCTTAAATAGAAACAATAGTTCATTTATACTTTAATTCATTAACTTGTTTTGTTTTAATTAGGGAAGGAAATTTAATTGTTTAAATAAATTTTTTAATAACAACTGCGTGTATCCGTACTAAGTCAATTTTTTATTTTAAATAGTATTTATAAAATTTTTAAGTTTAATAATAACAATGTTATTTATTTATTAAGTAAACTTGTTTTGTTTTAAATAAAAGTATTTTATTGATAATAAAAGTACAATTCTAACGTAAATACGAGTTTTGTTAAGACCACTTTTGAATGATTTTTGCTGTAAAATTTAGATAATACACAAAAATTTGTTATTTTATTCTTCCTTCTTTAAATCATCCGCAACATTTCCTCTAATAAAATCACTAAAACCATGAAGAGCTCCAAAATTACGGGCTCCTTAAATTAACGATATAATGATATAAAAACAATAGATTCGTGATTAGAAATTATTTTTGTGAATTTCAATAAAAAAAATAGAAACAGAGCTATTATGATAAAAACAAGGTCTTACTATCATTCCCGGCCAGGGATGGACAAAATTGAATTTTACCCTTATGTTTCTTTTTGCGTAAATTTGGCGAAATTTTTGTTGAAAACCTTTACATTTAGTGTTCACCAATCTGATTATTTAAGAGGTGGGGGTTACAATTACTTTTTAAATTGTCTCTTGTAAGTAGAGTTGGGCGGGATCGGGATCCCGACGAAAAATCGGGATCGGGATTTTGGAATGATGATCCCGATCCCGGTCCCGATCCCGACTGCGGGATCGGGATTGGACGAAATCGGGATCGGGATTCGGAATAATGATCCCGATCCCGGTCCCGATCCCGAATCGGGATAGGGATTGAAAAATCGGGATCGGGATTTAGTTAAAAATTTTTAAAAAAATTTAAATTTTTATTTTCTTTGCATATACCTCAATATAATTCCATAATTTTCATCTGCTGTGCTGAAATATTGATTTTAAGTCCCAGCGCGCATTTGTTCTTGGCGTATCAGGGATTAAGGAGGAGGGATAAAGTATTAACGATAAGGTGATTCTGATGGATTAAGAGGGATATCGTTGATTAATGAGATATTGGGATCTAGATGGACATTAGGAATTTGGGTCATCATGAATTTTCTTCTTATTCACCACCGGAGGCAAAAATTTTGAAAAATTTCGAAGATTCTCAAGCTAAAATCTTCATTTTTAGCGCCACAGGCGAAAATTTTGAAAATTTTGGATGGCGTAGAAGCCAAATTGCTTTCTTTTCAGCTCATTAATATATATTTTCATTAATTTATAAAATCCCGATTTCATCGGGATCCGATTGCTAATCCCGATCCCGGTCCCGATCCCGGCTCGGGATCGGGATCGGCCAAAACCGGGATCGGGATTTGTCTTTCGGGTTCGGGATCAGAAAAATCGGGATCGGGATTCAAAAAAACCGGGATAATCCCGCCCGATCCCGACCGGGATCCCGATCCCGCCCAACTCTACTTGTAAGTATTGTGAGTAGAATTGACTTACTTCTAACTGATTTTGCTTGCACAGGTGTACATTTATTTTGGTTCATGCAGTTGATGAATGTCCTGAATTTTATTAAATTTATCAATAAGAAATTCTGAATTAAAGTTACAAAGCTGCATTAACTTTTGAAATAAAAACTAAGAAAAAAACTTTACGTGAAACATTCGCACATCTCATATAAACAGCTATCTATATGAGAGGTTGAACAATCCTCTAATATTACATCGCAAGAATCTGATAGATTTTTATAATAATCAACGAGGGTATCCTTCTCGCATCTCAGGTCCTTTACTAATATAGATTTACATTTAGCTAGATCCTGCATGCATCTATTAATTAATTTTATTAAAATATGGATGCATGTTTCTATGTACTTGATAGTAGATGTTTTCGTTAGTATAATTTTAATTTTATTTTGTAATTTTAATGTCTCCCGATTGGCAATAAATTATTTATAAATAACATACGAGCATTCATCCCTTATGTATTCTGCATTAGAATTCCAAACTTTATTGCATTCAGCGACAGTAGGTGGCTTCTCACCTTTTGTGATAACAATAGAAATTAATGCCAAAATTAAGATGATTTTTCTGAAACTTCTATTTGACATTTATAATCGTTAAAATTTATAATAAAATAGTCAACTCACGAGAATGGTTCTTTCATTTTTATATCAAAATTTTTATTTTTAATAAACTATAATGAAAAGAAATTTAATTTTAATATAAAATTAAAAAAAATATAAATCAAAATTATTTTTTTCAAATATTAAATAGTAATTATTTTATTCACTTAATAATATGTTTACTATTTACCTATTAATTAAACTTGTTTTGTTTTAAATAAAATTAAAATATTTTATTAATAATAAAAGTGCAACTTTTATTGAAAAATAAATGTAAATTGTTGGTATGTCCAATTTTTAGACCCATTTTTAGGTTGGATTTTCACATAACGTTTTTATAGGAGAGGCATGGGAGGTTTTAAAAATTGTCAACTTTTTAAATTATTATTTAACTTTTATCAAGTTTATTCAATTGTTACCAAAAATGCAAAAATGTTCTTTTTTAAAAACAGGTTTATCCAACCCTATAAAAATTATATTATTAATTTATCATGGAAATAAAAATTTAAATAATTAAAGTGAACATGTCCTGTACAACTACGGATATAAAATAATATTTCAGCTTTCCATTTTTATCTAGAAGTTTGAGGTCAGATTTCTTCAATCATCAGCATCGTAGACAAAAATTTTTGAGCAAGTTAAATGGTTAGAAGCCAGAATTTTTACACAATAAAAGAATTCTTTGGCGAAATTTCGATCAAAAATATTTAAAAATTCCATATTTAACAGGCCGAAAAATTTAAATTCAATTCGACAATCCTATGCAAAATAGTCAACTGATTCTTTTCCAATTATTTTTCATAAAATCAAACATTAAACTCAAATATAAAATGATTCAATAAAAGAATAAATAATAAGAATATAAATTTATATACGTGGTTAAATAAACAAAAGAATATTAAAATGACGGAAAACTGAAAATAACAAGGAACAATTCAACTAAATGACATGGTCTTCAATTTACGTGTATATTTAAGCTTTGTTTATTTATCAGAGTTATTAATTGCAAATTTTATTTTCTTTATCAATCCCTAGAAGTATTATACCTTAGTATTGATGATTTGAAAAAATTCGGAACCTTAAGAGAAATAATCTAATGGATAATTATTTTATAATATATTTATGGTTTTTGTTGAGCTATAACCATTGAATTACAAAGTATAATAGGAATTAATGTATCCTTGTGTTATTGAGAGAAATCCTTCGATATAGTATTAGGGACAATAATTTTATAGGAAAGTAATCTCATACATACATTAATAATATATATTCTAAAAATTATTTTTAAAAATATAGATAACTTAAAATGAATAATATACTCGTATTCCTAATTCTTTTGAATATAGCCATGTTTGTCTCAGTCAATGGCCAATTCTGTAAAGTTTTCTTCCCCCAAGTTTGTCTATTAATTTGTAAAGCATGCACTGGGAAGGGTTGTCTTGTTAAGGATCCCTTATGCCCACCAGCTATTACTTTCTGCCAATTTTTTGGCTGTTTTTGTGAATAAAGGTTGGAAATTAAATTTTAATTGTATAAATAATTATTTAGTAACATGCACAACTGCTCAATGATGTAAAATTTGGTTAAAATGATAAAGAATATAATTTCTTACATAAATTTCTTTACACGTTTTAATAATATTTGTATATTTTTTATATAAATTATTAAATAAATTTTATAAGATTCATTTTAAATAATAGTTAAAATCAAGAAAGAATATGTATGTATCGATGACATTATGAGCCATTATTCGTTGCTTCAAATTTTTTCAATTCTGAAATTTTGTCAAGAATTTTAAAGCTTTAGAAAGCATAATGATAAGACGGAATACCCAAATTACAACTTAATTTTCTGAGATACATTTATTCATATCCTGAAAAGGCCAGCTTTATTATTTTCAAAACCCCTATGATTAAAGTGAATTTTTTCTCTTTTTATTTTTTAATTCATAGACAGATGTGTGATCCAGCCCTATAAATTAAATCTTCTCAATCTTTTTGTTTAAATCTTTGTCCTATTTAATGTAAAAAGTGGTTTAGATTATTTTGAAAACAAGATTTCACTGCGAAAAACGTTTCCATAAATATTTATTTATTTAATTCGTTAATTTCATAAAAACCATAAAAGACATTAACATGAAAGTTGCAAGGAAATAAAATCGGCAGGGAAATAAAATCACATCTTATTTGAAATGTGTCTGTGATTGTATTTGTTAATATTTAAAAAATCTCGTTAACATCATTATAGAAAATATTTTTTATCAAAAAATATTTGTAATAAGGAAATAAATTTTAATATAATGTATCTAACGTTTATTAATTATTTGAATATACAATGACTAATTTGATAAGATAATTATTTATAATATCTAATTTTCAAAGAATATTATCATAAATATTATGTGATATATCCAAGTCACTTGACTATTTATCAGAATACAAAAGCTAAGATTTTAAGTAAAAATATTCCCTAATCTCCATGTAAAAAATTAATCTTTCTATTCGATTTAACTTTAGATAAAATGAAAAATTTAATTATTTTTTTGTTATTCTTGAATATTTCAATGTTCGTCTCAGTCAATGCTCAATTTTGTAAAGTTTTCTTTCCTCAAGTTTGCAGATTAATTTGTAAAGCATGCTTAGGAACGGGTTGTCTTGTTAAAGATCCGTTATGTCCAGCAGCTGTTAAATTCTGTCAATTTTTTGGTTGTCGGTGTGTTAAGGTAATATTCTCATGAAAATAAAAAAATTTTTAATTTCAGAAAACTTCTTGTGATAGAAAAGACGATTACTGAAGAATTTTAAAGTTGAAAAATTAATATAAAATTTTATACATAATACATATTTACATAATGAATTAATTTCAAATGTATTAATAAAATTAAATTAAGCAAATTAGTCTCAGAAAAAAAACAGATACATATGATAAAAAATAGATATTATTCTAACTCTCGAACCAGCTTTGGTAATTGTTATGATAATGAGTTTCGTATATGCAGTACTAAGACAACTAGGGTCATATTTTCATTCTTAAAACAAAAAACAAAAAAAAAGTTCGATTAGTGAAAATTACGAGATACGCAAACTAGAAAAAAGCGGTTAGAAATTACTGTTAAAGCAAAATTTAAATTTCCAAGAAATAATTGCTACTTATTCAGCGAATTTTTATTTGTTGAGGATAAGTAATTTTAAGTGAATTTTCAGTTATATTTTTAGATAATTATCGTTTTATTATTTCAACTTCCCGTTATATTTTCCTATTTTTCTGTTGGTATATCCTTAATTTTTCCACGTGTTAATACTAAAATTTTGAAATTTTACAAGGAATATTATCTTTAATTTTTCATTTTATTTCTTTTTAATCATTCAAAATATAAATGATGAATTTTTATATTAAGGAGCAAAAAATGCAATAAATAAAACGTAACAAAATAAATAAAAATATCTTTGTTAATAAAAATTTTTTTAAATCTTTAATGAAATATAACAATAAAATTAAATAAATAAGGAAGCATAATAAAAATAACAATGAAACTGTCGAATTACTAATTTTATTTTTTAGAATTTATTATCAAAGTCAAAGGTAATAAATAAAATTTATTCAAAGCCTGGTTATTCAAACGAGTTTTACACATACATATACATAAATATTAAAATAATATCATCATAATTAAATCATTATAGCCCGAAAAGAAATTACTTTATAATGCTTAACATAACTCAGCATAGATATTTTCATTTTTTAGCAGAAAGATACCAAGAACCTATAAAATATAAGCCAAGAGTATTGTTTAGGACCCGAAAAAACTTTTATCATTAAATAATATTTATAATTAGAGTCGGGCCTAGATTTAAGGCCTGAAAGTGACTCGTACCGGCCCGACTCGATAAAAACAAGCCCGAAAAAATTCCTTGACCGTCGGCCCGACTCGAAATCGGCAACCCTATTTATAATCAAAAATGAATGTAAAAAACACATATCGGGGTTCACAGTTTATCCAAATAGAAAGTAACACCTTGACTTTTTTCTGTTTGTAGACGAGCACTTGTTGCTCCATTAATACGCTCGGATTTCAGCTCCTCTAATCTCCTTCCTTCTATCTTTTAAATTCCAACTCACATATACTATCTACAATATTTAATCCTAAAATAATTTTTAGAAAATAGAAGAATGAAAAATTTACTCACCTTCTTTATTTTAAGTATTATGTTTGCTTCAATTGATAGCCAAATCTGCACAGTATTTTTCCCACAAGTTTGCCCATTAATATGTAAGGCTTGTACAGCAAATGGATGTTTATCTACCGATAAATTGTGCGAACCTGCTGTTGATTTTTGTAAATTTTTTGGGTGTGGGTGTTCTACAGTACAATGATTGGAAGTAAGTTATCTAATAAAATTTTCAAAATAATTACCTATATTTTTTAGAAAAAAATCTTTTGTGTACGCTCTTGAAGAAAGAAATTGATAAGCTATAAGGAACATAAAAATTGTGCCAGATTATTTAATGTCATAATATAACGAATTATTAATATGAAATAAATTTAATTTAATTATTTCTCCTCTATTAGATAATTATAATTTCCTCCAAACTCAAAATCGGTTTAAAGCATATTAATTAATTTTTAATTATATCTCGATGGTTAAGAAGCTTTAAATAATATTTTTAGAGTATATTTTTTTCCAGCTATTTTTACGACT